AGGACGGTGACCAGTGCTTGGAGAGCCTAAAAGTGAGAGTGCATTCGGAGGGTCCAACAAGACATATTTCGGGTAACGGTGACTTTGCGTTGCCCTTACTACTACTGTTGCTACTGTTGCCATCAGTCCAAGGACCTCTGACTGATATTAGCGTCCCACAAGGCTCACTACAACGACCTAGCTATAGTGAATTGAGTCACTTGAAAGTTGCGAATGAAACCGAAACCTGTCTGACTTTCAATTAATGCTAGACATTCCGTCACTTAAACTTGACGGTTCATTAGACTTATTAACTAAACAGAATTATAGTGCTATAATTAACTCAGACTAAAATAGCTTACAGACGGATAACAATAAAATTACACTTCCTTTAAAATAATTGAATAAAGTGATGCTTAATTTTAGATGAAGAATATTAAAGTCTTTGTCTGTGTTAGTTGAATGACAACAAGTTGCCATGTCCAGAAGAGCCTATAAATATTGCATCAGTAGTTGCAGTTTGTAAGGTATTTCGAACCGCTGAAAAGAGGGTTAGCTACTGTCTTCATATGTCGCATATTTCAATTAAACTTCCAATTGAGAAACTACAAAAGAACAAAAAACATATTCGCTTCAATCGAGAAAGTTAACTTGCCTCGTTCTTGGAACTCGCAAATATCGTTCAATTATGGTATTAACAATTATACTGTTCTCTTTGATGATACGCTTTGTAAGAAGCCTTTCTTTTGTGTTATGCCGAAATTCAAATTTGCATGAAGTTTTGAATATGTGAATTTTGTATTAACGTTCATGTTTTTCACGGAATCGTATTATAGCTACAACGAGCATTTGTTTACAGTACGTTGAACTAGCCTTTAATTTGTTACCGTAAAATTATTCCGAATATTCATGAGTTCACCTGTTGGTCAGACCATTATGATGACGTTGAAAATTTAACTTTTGTTTTGATGTTTTTGCTCTACTGACTACATGAATTATTTAGTATTGTACGTTAACGTTATTTTCCCACGTTCACAATGTACCAGAATTTCGATTACCTTGTTCGTCTAGAGGTTAGTGACCCTGTAAAGTAAATCTTAATTTATATCACGGGACTCACTATTTTTCTTACATTTTAGATATGTTTGTATGGATATTCTTCACTTGTATGTTCTCAGTAGTATGCAGTATTTTAAATATATATATTATTTGAAATAAAATAGTCATTGTTTACACGAAATTAACTAACTAGTTTTTATTTAACACAATACGAAAGTACCTACTGTTGTTTGCTGATAATTCTCGGTTATTAAGTGACATTTTGTTAAGAAGAGATTATATATCTAGATATCTTTGGAAATATTTTTTTGGACAGTCGAATAGTGGAACAGTGGAACAGTGGAAAATTAAAAAGGCGACAAAAAAAATTCTACTTTTTACAATTTTGGCAAACGTTATCAAGACCTACTTCATGTTTGAAGTCTCCAATTAATTAGTACAACGGTTGTCCCGATAAAGTAAATTATTTAAAATGGTGTAATGATATGTACATATATTAAATAAAGTCACTGAAGCATAAGAATACCCCTAGTTTCCCATAAATGTCTCCACATTAACAATTCGTTACTCGTGTGAACCCACGTTCCGATATTTAAATATATTACTTAATCTGAATGTGCAATTTTACTTCAACATTGATTTATTTATAATTGAACTAGTTTTTCGTTTCAACAATGGGTAATAATAAAATAAAATTAAATTAAATAAAAAAAAAACGATCCCCATTTAAGCTACATGCAACTCTTCATTGAGCACGTTGTATAAATGTTGGAATAAAATGAATGAACTCTAAAATAGATCCGAGGGGAGCAGGCTGGCAACTAGCAGCTTCCTTCCTGCGTCCATCCGGCGTCGAGTCTCACGCGACCCTTGCTTGACATGGCACTGCACCCATTCTCCATGGTGGATGACCACCACTCACACACCACTTTTAATTTTGCTTGTTTTTTTTTTTTTTATATTAAATAATAAGTTTTGAAGCGATCGCATGCAGCAGAGATACGAATGTTGCGATGGATGTGTGGAGTAACGAGAATGGATAGAATACGGAATGAATAAAAGGAAGTCTGAAAGTGGCACCTGTGACAGAGAAGCTGAGAAGTGCGCATTTGGGATGGTATGGACATGTGATGAAATGAAATGAAAATGAGATTGGTAAGAGAATGTTAACTATGAATGTGGAAGGATACAGAGGAAGAGGTAGACCTAAGAAGAAATGGATGGATTGCGTGAAAGACGATATGGGTAAGAAGAGAGTGAGCGAACAAATGGTATATGATAGAAGAGTATGGAAAAAACATATTGCGCCGACCCCAGGTGACTGGGAGAAGGGCAGGAAAATGGTGATGAATAATGTTTGATAATAAAATTTCGTAACACCACACGATATTTAATTAAATTGAGATGCTATCGGCAAAGCTAAGAACCATATATCGAACTTAGTCTATCGTTCAAAAAACTGTCTTAAGAAATTACAACGAACGAGATTGTGCATGAAGCTTCCAATAACAATAGTACTTTTGCTCAAAACGGACTCTTGCTTTCAGATTTTTGATTATTTCAGATGGTGAGACAACGATCTACATATTTGGTTAATCATAGGGAGTGGGTAAAAAAGTAATTGCTTAGTAGACGGAAAGAAAACTCTGCAAAGGAAAAATTGAAAGCGGAACTAGACTGCACGAATATTCTGAATGTTTTCAACTGAAATCGTTTAGAGGATAACGATGTGATAGGTAATCAAATAAAGGAAGATCTTAACGAAGTATGTGAATACGATACACGTGCACTCGTAAACATTAGCACCCAAATAGCTTAAGGAAGGCATGCATCTCGTTTACCGTAACCATGCAATGCCATTACACCTTAATAGTGATGAGAGATAGCAACCAATACTTCCAATGCAATCGTTTAACAAACAAACTCATTACAATTTCAACTTGCATCAAAAACAAATGTACCTATAGTATATTTAAAGAGGTACGTGTTCTCGAATGCCTACCATTTAGATATTGCTAATGGTCAATAACATTTTATCATAATTATTATTTGACCCTTAACGGTATGGTCATTCAAGCAAACAATGATTATTGTTTGTATTAGCGAAGCAACAGAGTCATGTAAAGTTGCTTCAAATGGAAACAAGTCAATTGACTTCATTGCCGGCGCAACGGCGTGCGAGGGGTGAGCGCGCCCCGTCACTCCACTTGAACTTTTTGCGCAGGGGCGTAAATTGGTACTGACTGATAATTTTGACATAAAACAGTAGGAACCGTCAGAGTTTGGCGGGAACATTCCGTTTTATGTCAGTTTTTGTGTATTCAAGTGACGGATAACACAAATTGTTAGTAGATAGACGAAACAGAGAATGCCTCTGATGGATGTTTGTGGGAAAGTTAGTAAAACGAACTTAATATTAATTTTAAAGTCTGCTTGTTTATTTCAAAGTATATTTTTTTCAAAGTAAAATCAGTCAAAACGTGGACAAATCATATAAATGTAATCTTAATATGTTTGTTATCAAGTGTTATGGACACAGTATTTATTAAATACCATATATCTCGGGTCATAACTTCGAGTATTGTTATTTAGTTATCTGCTGTAGTTATAACCTTACTGTAAATTGTTTACGCATCTCAATTGGTAACAAGAAAGCAATCCATAAGCACATCTTGAACGATATAATAAAGTGTTGTAGGTTTAATTCAAAACCTGAACGAAAAAAATGCTTCTTAATATTGGAATAATAATAGGGTTCTAACTACTATTTAAAACTTATTAACACTCCGTTGAAAAGCATTCTTTTTTCTCTTTTGGACAATTTCAGTATTAATTCTCCTAATTTTTGCGCGATTAAGCTTTGTATATCGTGTTTTTTATATGATATGGTTGATGATATTATATTCTTCTTTCAATCTGATACAGATTGGTTTTCTACGTTAGCTTTCAATTGAAATATCTACCATATTCTGATCGAATTTACACATTCTTCCTCCTCTTTTTACCAATACAATGCATGTGTACCTATGTGATATGAGATTCCGTTTTAGATTATTTTTACACCATTTATTTAACGATCGATAATATGGCGTTTTTCGTTTTCATAATAGTATTTCCGTCAGTATAAAAATTTACAGTCGTCCGTGATTACGAAAACTGTTAGGTATTCGAAACGTCAAAATGTTATAATGAGAATCAAAACGCGAGATTAAAGTAGTTTTAATTATGTTTTTGACTCGCAAAAATCGAGGGAAATATGTAATTATGTATATCATGTTTTTACTCAAAATTTTACGAAAAGTCGTAAATGATACATATAATGAGAATCAAAACGCGAGATTAAAGTAGTTTTAATTATGTTTTTGACTCGCAAAAATCGAAGGAAGTATGATACTATGTATATATAATTTTTTTTACTCAAAATTTAAATATAACAGCGATAATCGTACTTCATTCACGTAGTGTGAAGTTCTCGGCGAGAGCTTACTAGTGAAATTATCCTATGATTGAAGCATATGAAAAGATAACCGTGTAGGTATTTATTTAAATTACGAAGATGGATGTACTAGCTCACGATCCACCTTGTGTTAATTGATAACCAGGGCTCATAGACATGTTATAGAATGCTGGTACCCAACCTGCAACATGAGGTCGAAATCTCTGTATAATTTAACGTCTATGCCCATTCTTCTAAGTTATACCCTATTTTGTGAACCCCCAATATAAAATAAACTGAGGGCGATCGTTTATTTGCGTTAATTAGAAAATCATTAGTAACATGTACCGTATTCCTAGTTACTCCTTCGTCATTCAAGGAAATTATCCTTCAGAATACAGTCCTTCACATTAATGAAAAGCATGGACGTCTTTCGGGTAACTGGACACGTTACACGAGCTAGCTGCTTCGTTTGTTAGTTGACCATTTTATTTTCCCTATAAATATTTAAAAAGATACAACTTACCTGTTGAACGTTGCACTCAGGTCCACAGCTCACGTCGAAGTGCCCCTCCCCAGTTCGATTCTGCAAAAAGTACCGATTATTATTTTCTTCAAATCAAAGATCTAATTTTACTGTTTATTTTATTATTAGAGCAACGATTGGTAAACCGGTACGCGGTCCACGTGTTTTAACTTCATTTGTTTTCCGAGTTTCAGGATTCAGCTAAGGTAATAAAAATAGAAACTGTTTTTTTATCGGTTTGCTTAGGCTCTGATACGGTGTATTGTTCAAAAGCCCGTACGGTTATGTATAATCATCACCCTGCCTCATTCGTTGATATGATAAAAAAAAGCAAATTTAACATTTTAATACCTCGGGTTAAAGATATTCTTTATTCTCAAAAGAATTACATAAATTCACTTAAATGAGAACATTAAAATAGTTATAATTAATTCAGATCGTGCAGTACATACAATAATTTATAGTAACACCATGCGGTGCTATAACAATTATTTAACAAAAACTATAAATATTTTTTTCTTCAAATGTATAAACAGGGTAGATTACCACAGAAGCGAGGTAAGTACCTTATTATCATTACTGTTCTTAATAGCTTAATAAATAATTTAATAACTTTGAAATAATTTTGGAATCATTTTGGAATGAGCAGTTTTTTTTGGATTTCGTTAGTCGTTGACATAATTAAAATTACTTTACGGTTTCATTTCGCGTTTTGAATGCTAACTAGTTACCTTTTTTTTATTTTGAATACAGAAAAATCTCTTTGCGGGGTATTGGTTCCGGAAATATGCCGCGAATAAAGAAACCGTAAATATGGAAAAGCGCGATTACAACGGATATACAGTTGGATACCTACATATTAGAATTCTTTTTATTAATGTGTCCGTACCGATTAGATCCGCGAATAAAGGAATTTTAGCCACGAATATAAATTGTGTCGCATTTTTTGTAATTAATCGCGAATGAAGGAAGCGCGAATATGGAGCTTTACTGTAACAATATTTATAAGAATTGACGGTAGTTATCACAATATTCATATGTCGACGCTGACATATTAGTCGTCCCTTTCTACATGTACCATAAAGTATTCTAAACTTCATAAATAATATATTGACAGTGAATAAACGTGAGATTAAGCCGTGAAAGTAATTTTAATTATTGGAACGGTTACTTTATAATAGGGACAGGTTCGGGAGGATGCGTCCACCGGAGTCACAGTTGTGATAGCTTCCGTTGAATGCGCGTGCGCACCCGACCGTGGCAATCGACTCGCTCTGACTACTCCCATAAATAAAAATCTCATTCGAACTACCTGTTTCATCCATTAACGTATATTGATTTGTCCTTCGAAACTAAAAAGGTCCTTGAAACATATTACGTATGTGTTCTAGGTTTAAAAATACTAAAATATTATGGATAGTCTTACTCGTACATTGCCATTTGTATTTTATAACTAGCTTTTGCCCGCGACTTCGTCCGCGTGGAATAGTTCACAAATAATGCTTTATTTTCGAACAAATTTGGCTAGCATAAAAAAACGTTATAGTGAGCCAACCTTAACATATAGACATATGCTGTCGCAGACTTTTTTTAGATCTTTTAAAGAGGAACAGTTTTGTCATACATTATTTTAGCGAAACTTTAACCGTTTCTGCAGCGCACGCAGCGGAAGCTCTCAAAAGGGAAAAAAACCCTGATTTTGAAACATTCTTTATTGGTGCTCCGCTTGTATTGGTCTTAGCGTGATGTTATATAGCCTATAGCCTCCCTCAATAAATGGGCTATATAATACTGAAAGATTTTTTTAAATCGGTCCAGTGGTTTTTGAGATTAGCCCGTTCAAACAAACAAACTCTTTAGCTTTATACTATTAGTAAAGATTTTACGACTGCAACAAAGCTGCCCACTGCAGAGGACTCTCCTCAAACCTCAAACTTCAAACTTAAGGATTTAGAGCTGTGAAACTATGACAAGACAACAATGTAAACAATGCAAAAGAATCTCTGGTGCTAGAATCGATTGAGAGCAAGTGCGGTCTTAATTGCTTAAGTGTTTATGCATTCTTATGCGAACACACTCTTGCACGGTTAGACAGACAGCTGTATTCACGTTATTATGTCTATGGGCTCCAAACATCGCTTAGCATCACATCGGCCGGGTAAGCCCATCTAAGCCAGTTAAAAATTAAATAAACATGTCTTTCAGTCAAGCAAGTATTCATTTTGTACTCATGAAACATATTTAAAAATAGCTATTACTAAGAAGAAAGCCTAGTTAAACTCTTTGGTATATTTTGTGTATGGTTAGTTCGCATTGTATGAAAATATTTGTGTCACAAGAATTTTAGTCGATGCACTATGTAATTTTAACGACCATAAATTAAGAGACTACAATTTTGTAGAAAAAATAGATTGATTGTAACAGATATACGCGACAGATAAGCGAAAAAAAGAATTTTCGTAATACTACGAATAGGTACTAATGCGAGTGCACGTCTGCACGTGGGGAGTCTTACGATTAGTCTTAAATATGATCTAAATCAATAACTGTACTGGCCTTATAAATTAGAATAAGAGGCGTACTTCTTTTAACATATTTAAAATATGTAATTAATAAATATATTATACAAAAATCATAAGAAAATTTCAACGGGAATCGAATTTTATGATTCGATAGGTTTGATTCAATGTGCACAAAAAAGATCAAGTTGCTTGATGCCGATATGGCAAGTAAAATGATGTAACCATCACGTCACTTTTTCAATTAAATTGATCTAAATTTCGGTCACACTTAACTACCAAAATTTACCGAATTTAATTACAAGATACATATGCTGGCTGTTTGCTTGCTGCGATAGGCAGATGACGACCCAGGCGATGGGGCAAAGCAAAGCCGCCGTCGCCCAAAACATGTCTTATCGGATCCCCCGAATCCACTCTCGGTGCTTTTAGGCTCTTCAGGCACGCAAAACTACGACGAAGAGTTTGACGTGCGAATTAGATCATAGACATAACTCACTGAGTTTCGCGTTTTTTTTTTATTGTTTAGATGGGTGGACGAGCTCACAGCCCACCTGGTTGTCAAGTGGTTACTGGAGCCCATAGACATCTACAACGTAAATGCGCCACCCACCTTGAGATATAAGTTCCAAGATCTCAAGTATAGTTACAACGGCTGCCCCACCCTTCAAACCGAAACGCATTACTGCTTCACGGCAGAAATAGGCAGGGTGGTGGTACCTACCCACGCGGACTCTCAAGAGGTCCTACCACCAGTAATTACGCAAATTATAATTTTGCGGGTTTGATTTTTGTTACACGACGTTATTCCTTCACCGTGGAAGTCAATCGTGAACATTTGTTGAGTACGTATTTCATTAGAAAAATAGGTACCCGCCTGAGATTCTAACACCGGTGCATCGCTCAACACAAATGCATCGGACGTCTTATCCTTTCTCCGATCTTCTCAGTGTAAAGAGTAGTAAATTCAGCCAAGCACTGCTCTTGCTAGGGCTGGTGTTACGATTAGGTAGGGGAAAAAGCAGATGATTGGCAGCCATCAGAAACTACTGAGCTTCAAGTCTCGTTTACGTTTAGATACACGATGTGCTTTTATTTAGTCCGGTGCAGAGTTCAATTCAAACCAAATTATCAAATTACTGAAAATTTCACTGAGACTTGCAGATTCTATTTCGACGGTAGATAAGCAACAAATGATCATCTGTTGCTTAGTGGTAAATGTCACAAAGACATTAGTAATATAGGGCATAACTAAACTACTGTCTTCCGTAGGTACTTCAGTGGTATGTTATATTGCTTACGTTACTTATATTGCTTATAAACATAAATCCAAATTTAAAGCGAATATGAAATCGCAGGCTCACGCTCGCATATTATATATGTGTTTGGAGTAGGCGTGAGACCGGATCCAGACTGGTCACTTTGTAGGCTTCAGCGTCGACATACGATAGGTGCGGTTTTGTTTTTGGGATTTTTCTATGAAATGATACGTATTAATCTAAAAAATATGTTCGTAAAATAACACTTGGTAGATAGTTTCGACAGGAGTTTTAAGCCACTTCCATTGTGCCCCTTACATTGGTGGATGGACATCCATGAATGAAAATGACCACTCTCCATGAGCTGAATTGTATGTTTGTCTACCTAAAAGCGAATAAAAGGTACTATAATCCTAACGATAACATAAAAAGCGGGTTTGTAAAATTGTTTAATGTTTGCAATGAAAGCAATGTAACACGATTAAAAATCAGATGACGCTTGGGGTCAACGGTCTAGCGCAACGCGGTGGTGATACTGCTATACCCGCTTTGTACCTATTATCGTGGATTAGCAAAAATACATTGTTCTTAAGGTTATTTTTATAAGATACTAGCTGACCCGGCACACTTCGTAGTGCCTCAATCGATAAATAAGAGACCTAAACTTTTGTATAAAATAAACTTAAAACAGATAAAAGGAATCCGTCCGACGGGGGACACATCAAAGGAAAAACAAAATTATTATTTTTATTTAATTAAGAGCATTTCATATTTATCTACCTTTTAAACCTTCTCTGGACTTCCACAAATAATTCAAGTCCAAAATTAGCCAAATCGGTCCAGCCGTTCTCGAGTTTTAGCGAGACTAACGAACAGCAATTAATTTTTATATATATAGATAGATATAGCATTTCAGGCTTTGGCTTCACACTCTAAGTAAAAAATTAAATAATTATTTGTTTTATGGTGTTTTGAATCTTGAATGAATATATAAGAAATGTACTCAAATGCTTATTCACATTTTTACTTTATACCAATACCTACTCTGAAATTACGTTAGTCGCATAGCAAAGCATACATTGCACGTGGTAGCTTTTCACTTAATGTCGTGGATGGCTCACCTTGAACAATACTAGGGCAGGTAATTTACTTGCTAAGACAAAATTTTGACTGCAACACGTTTGAATAAAATTATTTGATTTGTTGCTTACATTAAATAATAAAGAATTCAGCGCATGATTAAAAGTCTTGTTAATCCAAATCATTGAGATCCATAGCGCTGTTTAGAAACTCCGATCTATATTTAGCATGTTTGCGTTGATTACAGTGGGTCGCTAATTGCCGACAATTAATTGTATGAGCGTCGAACCTGCAGATCGCCGCAGATACATTCACTCTAGCAAAACCCTCAATGTCGGTGAATACGCAACGTTTTATCAATGAACATTTACGATACGAGGTACATATTTCATTTACGCTTTTATTGTTTTACTGTTTAAAATCTATATTCTATTATAATAATATACATATATAAAAATGAATTGCTGTTCGTTAGTCTCGCTAAAACTCGAAAACGGCTGGACCGATTTGGCTAATTTTGGTCTTGAATTATCTGTGGAAGTCCAGAGAAGCTTTAAAAGGTAGATAAATATTAAAATGCTCCGAATTAAATAAAAATAACAATTTTGTTTTTCCTTTGATGTGTCCCCCGTCGGACGGATTCCTTTTGTCTGTTTTAAATTTATTTTATACAAAAGCTTAGACCTTTATTTATCGATTGAGGCACTACGAAGTCGGCCGGGTCAGCTAGTTAAAATATATTTTTATAACAGAATAAAAAAAAATTAAAATGTATTTGTTTGAAAATATATATCAAATATATATCAAAATCAGTCGCATAGTAGTGATTCCGTTTAGACCGTGTTTCTCTTGTCCGCCGATCGATCAAAATAACGGTTGCAATTTAAAATCGTACTTTTAATCAAATCTTTCCTTAAGTTTTATGCCGAACTTGTGAAGCCCGGTCGATCAATTTCTTGAAACTACCCGTGCGCCACTTACTTCAATGGTAGTATGACAGAAACATCCCCTGAAGTGCCAACAACAACTGTACTAAATTTTATCTAATTGGATGAATGATTTACTCGTAGGAACGCACAGAGATTAAACGCGTACTCGGACATAAAAAAATATATTTTAATTATTCAGACAACATTAGGGATACCGGGTTCTGCTGTTACATTTCCTACGTTACAACGTGGGACTAAAAATTTAAAAGCAACACAATAAAACATTATTCAAGTCTGGACTTGAAGATAGTTGAAGGGCTGATTCTTGATTGGAAGTTTCTAAATTAAATTGGGCAATTTCTGAACTCAGCTGATCTTGAGTAAAATTGACTTAACAACTTTGTTTAAAAATTGTATTATTTTTTATCAGTATTGAAAAAACATTGTTTTATCAAGTGTACGGTGTTTTTTGCAAATACACGTTTACAAATTTGATCGATATAACGTATTTGAGTGCAACGTCTGTGGACCAACGCGACCCGATGGAATTATAAGGATTTTATTTTTTTATTTGTTAAATAAATACGGAATGCATCGACGTCGTTGTGGCCTAAAGGATAAGACGTCCGGTGCATTCGTATCTAGCGATGCAACGGTGTTAGAATCTCGCAGGCAGGTACCAATTTTTCTAATGAAATCGTACTTAACAAATGTTCACGATTGAATTCGATGGTGAAGGAATAACATCGTGTAATAAAAATCAAACCCGCAAAATTATAATTTGTGTAATATACTGGTGGACTTTTTATGAGTCCGCACGGGTAGGTACCACCACCCCGCCTATTTCTGCCGTGAAGCAGTAATGTCTTTCGATTTGAAGGGTGGGGTAGCCGTTGTAACTATTCTGATACCTAGAACTTATATCTCAAGGTGGGTGGCGCATTTACGTTGTAGATGTCTATGGGACTTAATACCAGGTGGGCTGTTAGCTCGTCCACCCATCTAAGGAATAAAAAAAGGACTGCCGAAGATGAACGAGAAGAGATCAGCCATAATCTTTATTACATTGTATTTGTGTTATTGTTACCAGTAAGTCAGTAACATAACGAACATCCAATAGGCGATGTATTCAAAACCAAAGTGGCTGTTCTGTCCATGAAACTCAAGCATAATAATCGTAAAATGATGGCTGAAAACTTAGCTGAAATAGACTTTAATATATCTCTCATTTACTCTACTTTTGTAGTTACGTCTGCTTAATAATTAAGATAATGAAAAAAAATGTCGCATACATTGACTTTTCGAAATCGTCTTGCATGGAATTTCCAAATAAATTTGTTATGTTAGATTTTTAGGATTAAGGCTGTTTATTTTATTTAATATAATTAAGACAACAAATATAAAGTAAAGTGTTTCTATAGTTTTAATGCATTTAAGAAAAAGACAAAATGACACACAATTCAAACATCATTTTTAAATTAAATTTCATAATTATTGATCATTCTTCGTTTACTTCCCTGTGGATTTATTTAGTAGAACAAATAGTTCATTAAATATTAATAGATTCATTATTACAGAATATCAATATTTGGCTACTTCTGATCGTAATAACGGTTTATAAGGTTTAAATTAATAAATTCAAATGTCAGAATATTTTGGTCAACACAATATTGACAAAAAAAACAACTAAAATAATCTAAAACCGAAATAATAATTTGATACGTATATCATGCTTCACATATAGAGCAAAGAAAATCTATATGAAGCAAAAACTTTGTATCCCTTTTTACGAAAATTGCGCAGACGGAGGAATATGAAACTTCCCACACTTATAGAGAACATAGAGAAGAAGTGCATGATGCTAATATTTAAAAAAAAAATGCATTGAAAATACATTAAATCAATAAAAAAAACATTACACACACTACCATGTATTGGACACAACGCATACATATAAATATACTCTTTGTGTGTGGTCAATTGTGAAACTTTGTTATTTTTTAAAGTCTGTGGTCAAATTGAGAATATTTTAATATTGTTTGTCTTTAATATTATTTATTTATTGTGTAGTTTTGGTGAAATCTGTATTATTATAGAAATATAATAGTGCTTGACCATAGAACCATAATAATGTTTAAACTTTTAATTTCAATCAATTATAGTCGAATTTGGACTACTGCGAGGACCACTAGTACTATTAAATGTACATTTAATACAACCACAAGGTCAACGTAAAATGTATTGTCTAACAAGCTTTATCATGTTACCTTATTGTTCACGAAATAATATATTATGTTACAGTGAAATCCACGAAACAATACATTCGTGTAAATACTAAATTTGAAGGCAAACCTGAAACGGGCATTTCTCATTGCATCGAGCCACAGCTTCCGCTCCAAATTTCTGTGTGTAATCGCAGCCAATTGTACGAGCGGACAAAGCCAATCCGAGCACGGACAACACTAGCCATTTGTGCCAATTCAACGGCCTGTTCATTGTGCTCGCTGGCCAATGCCAACGTCGTCGCATCTTGTCTTCTTGACCATCACAACACATTTTTGTTGATCACAACAAAATACATGTCAGAAAAAAAAAGAATTTAAAATCATTTATATTATCTGTAGATTCAGAAAAATATGGCGTTTCTAACGAGTATTTTATTTAAAACGAAAACGCGCGTACCGACATAACGTTTGTTTAAAAAGCGCGCACGTAGTAGCTTATTCGTTTGCGCATACGCAGTGGAAGTTACTTGTGTACTGACTAGTGACTACTGCGTGAGTTTTCGTTGAGGAGGAATCGTGTACACGCCTCGAGTACGCTACGATTGGGCGCTACGACTCTGCGATTTTGTTTATGCTCTTATTCCTCAGTCCCTGTCCATGAACATGTTGATGCGTATTATGTCATAATAGTATGTAGGTTCCGCTTGTTAAGATATAATTTGCAAGAGCACAGCGCATCTCTTCATGACTATTGAATGAAAACAAAATTACTGTAAAAGTGGAAACGATAGAGACGACTTCTTTTTGTTTGTTTTATAAATTACTAGCGACCCGCCCTCGCTGCGCTTCGGAAACTGTAATTTATTATTGATTTCTCCACTATTTAATGGATGTTATTATACATATAAACCTTCCTCTTCAATCACTTTATCTATTGAAAAAAACCGCATCAAAATCCGTTGCGCAGTTTTAAAGATTTAAGCATACATACGGGCAGACAGATATAGGGACAGAGAAAGCGACTTTGTTTTATACTATGTAGTGATTTCGCAATGACAATTAACGTAGCCAACGTAACTAATCTAGACTAATATTATAAAGAGAAAAGATTTGATCGTTTTTTTGTATGCATTGAATAGGCTCCGAACCTACTGAACCAATTTGAAAAAATCTTTCACTGTTGGGAAGCTACAGTATCCGCGGGTGACGCTATATAATATTTTCAAAAATTAGGAATCCTTATTAAAACTCGAATAATGTAACTCAAGGTGTAAAAAAATGAGGTACCTAACATATTGCTTACATCGCGTGCGTTGCGAAAATTCGTGATGATAGAATAAATACCTACAATACTTCCGAAATAAATGCACGAATGAAAATGAATAATTATTTTCAAATAATTCTCATTAATATTAATGCATCTTATTTTTTTTAGATTGTCAATAATTTCTTTATGAAAGTTATAGTTAAATCGTGCTTGAATATTCTCTATACATTTAAATTAATAGCATACCTAACAGAAACAGACACAACCTAACGGGTAGACACAGAAATTTGAAATTGAGGCTAAAAGTTTTGATGAAGAAGAAGTCTACAAAAGAAAGTTTTTATCATGGTGACATTTTTTAAGTAGTCTATACCATGGAAATAAAGCTTTTATTTCAAATTTAATGGAACACATGTTACTTTATGACGCGCCTCTATAATTTTTTCGTAGCTACACCCTTGGTTGTTTATTGCCTTACGATGTTCCTACTGATTATAGTTATGGTTTACAAATAAAACTACTTAGCAAGTTAAAGTAACTCCCTACTTTAGCCACTTATTAAAAAAAATACAAATCACAAATTTGAAGCTTTACATGCGTATTATCCATAAACAACAGAAACGATTACTTTTACCTCAAACTAAATTCTGAGAAGTGAATATGTGTTAATGCATTTATAATGATGTATAAGTCGTCGTGGCCTAAAGGATAAGACGTCCGGTGCATTCATATGTAGCGATGCACCGGTGTTCGAATCTCAGGCGGGTACCAATTTTTCTAATGAAATACGTACTTAACAAATGTTCACGATTGACTTCCAAGGTGAAGGAATAACATCGTGTAATAAAAACCAAACCCGCAAAATTATAATTTGCGTAATCACTGGTGGTAGGACCTCATGTGAGTCCGCACGGGTAGGTACCACCACCACGCCTATTTTCCGCCGTGAAGCAGTAACGCGTTTCGGTTCGAAGGGTGGGGTAGCCGTTGTAACTATACTGAGACCTTAGAACTTATATCTCGAGGTGGGTGGCGCATTTACGTTGTGGATGTCTATGGGCTCCGGTAGCAACTTAACACCAGGTGGGCTGTGAACTCGTCCATCCATCTAAGCAATAAAAAATAAAAATAAAGTATTAACACAAATTAATTTAATTACATTTACATGATGATCCATTAATTTTAAACATATTTATTAATTATTGTCCAGGGATTCAGAGGAAGTGTACTTTTTGATGGACTTAGACCGATTCCTTCCATTTATTTAGTATATAGCATAGTATATAGTATATAGTAAAATTCGTAGATCTACTAAAATACGCACACAGTAATATAATGTATTATAATATCATATAATTTAGATGAAAAAGCTAGCTGTAACGTAAGTCGATTAATTTTTTACACACTTTTAACAAAAAGGAGGAGGATTTTATGAGTTTAGAGCGAATATTTTTTTTCTGACTTTTACGCTTTCTCTTGAACTTTTCCTGTGCTTTGCTTTTAATATAGTACATATATATGTATGGATATGGTACGATCCTCAACAAGGAAAATAAATTATATGAGTTATATTTTGAACTCTGGTACTTCGATCATTCAATTAATTTAACCCGTTAGGTATCTCTTCCCACGCTTTAGCTACATTCCTCACATCATTCGTTGAATTGGATAATCTTCTAGAAATTTATATGAAAAATTTTAACGCTGAATTTTTTCTATCTTTTGTAAACGTTAGTACCTTTTAAAATAAAATAGGATTCAAATCGTATAAAATAATTGCTTAACACAATTTCTTAGATAAATGTAAGAAACGAATAAATTAACCCGGTAAATGTTAAATTTTAATGTGACTTTCAAAATTGTCGATACAAATAAGTGGAGAAATATGTACTACTAATTACTTATGAGGAGACTTTCTAAAATTATTTATTATTTAAGCGCCATCTAGCGATTAGTAGAAAGACTATGTTGCGAGAAAGGAAACTAAGTTTTGTCCTTCATTTTGAACTTTGTTTCTATCGTTCCTTTTATTTAAAACAGATGGCGATCATCAAATTGCCAGTTCATCTTTTTTATTTCAGCATAAACAAAATAGATGGCACTGTGCTGATCGTATAATATAACATTATTTTAGTAGATACTAATCAGAAAATTTGTTGTAGAATTTATTTAAGAATCAAATACCTACCTACCTATATATCTATATAAATCTATTTGTTAATACGTGAAGCAAAAACTTTGTACCCCTTTTTACGAAAATTGTGCCATCGGAGGAGTATATTATTATTTCCCACACTTATAGAGAATGTAGAGAAGCAGCGCAGAGTACTTTTTTTTTAATTATGCATAAATGATACATGAAAAGAATAAAAAAATCATTACACACTACCATGTATTTGGCAAATTAACACACGCATAAATACTCTTTTGTTTATCGTTAAAGTCAAATTAAGAATAGATTACTTAAACTATTGTTTGACTTTATCTTTGTTTTCCTACCTAAGCTGATAGCCTTGAGAGGCTATTTCAGCGGAACCTTAACTAGTAGGTGAGCTCACGGGGCTCAAGCCTGACGACGTTGCTAACACGAGTCCTAGCAAGAGCCGTGCTTCGCAGAATCTACCACCGTATCGGAAACGCGACCCACTGAGAAGATCCGGCGAGAAACCCAGTGAACTGACCTGACTTTATCATTATTTGTCTATAGTATAGCCTTGGCGAAATCTGTGATTATAGAAGTATAATAAATAGTCTTTGACAATAGAACCATAATAATGTTGAAACTTATAATTTCAGTTCATTATAGTCGAATTGTGGTCCCCCAGTAGTCGAATAGATCGCCAACTAGGGGACCATTATAGTTAATTGTTCGTTCTATGTACGCTCTAAAACCATTAATCCGATTGCGATGTAACTTGATACATTTGTTTTTGGCACCCCCGGAAGAGATTCTGTCATAGCACCATTTACGTTCGCATTGCATACGATGGCTAGTGAATGATTTCAAAAAATCGATATTATTCGTTTAATTATTGATCATATCACATCGGAGCGTGACTGAGTTTCACTGCCTCCCCCCTATCTAAAGCAAAAAAAGAATAAAATAAGTGCCACTACGTTTGTTTAAACTGCTCTTTTAATATTTTTTATAAATTATTTAAAACTGAACAATTAATTTGCATAGCTCACAGAATTATGTAGATATTTAGGTACATAATAATAATAAAAAATAACTATTAGTTCAGTCACTCTCTAACACCAACATTAGAAGATCATGAATAATCGCTAACTTACAGACACGGATAAAAAATCAAATAATTCTGAAATACTTTTTATTTTGTGACAAATTTTCATTTGCTTTTATTGATTACACTGATAATCTAAAAACCAGTGAAACCTGAAACCGTGCCAAAAACGTCACTGCGTTAAAAATATAAGTGTATGAACGCAAATATTACACTCCTATATACCTACCTACATAGACACATACTATACATACATACATACATACATATATTAGACATACTATTAGGTCTTTACCTACGAAATTACCGTTGATACTATAATAATAATATATTGACATACTGAAAGTAGGTCATTTTATTATTGTATTTCTATCAATATTTTTTTAACATTCTTTTTTTTCTATCAATCAAAATATGCATCCATGGTATCAATGCCTTTTTTTTAATTGATTATATGGGTGGACGAGTTCACAGTCCACCTGGTGTTAAGTGGTTACTGGAGCCCATAGACATCCACAACGTAAATGCGCCACCCACCTTGAGATATAAGTTCTAAGTCTCTTCAAACCGAAACGCATTACTGCTTCACGGCAGAAATAGGCGGGGTGTTGGTACCCACCCTCGCGGACTCACAAGAGATCCTACCACCAGTAAAACTGTCAGGGCAGACGTAATTTTTCAGCGCTCTTCTTGCAAAGTCAGTTGTACCCATTATTCAAAAGCACTTTATACCGCCTCTCGGGTATCGAATATTTTCCCTCGAAACATGAGGTTGAGACACGAATATTTTCCCTGCCAAGAAGTTGTCAAAATTGTGTTGTGAAACAGTACAAGTCTGTCGGCGCAAGGTGTGGTGTGTACGGTGGATGACACAAAACTTCCAATCCTAGCTTTTGTAGTTTAGAGACCATCTGTTGTTTCACGGTCAAGCGTTATCGTGCAGGGGCAGTGGGGACAAGCGGTAAATTTCCGTTTTGGGCATTGCCTAGGAGCTGAACCAGGGTCTAACTAACATAGTGATCCCTTAGGATTATCAAAAAGGGCCCATTTTTCATCGCATGTGACATTGCGGTTCAAGCTCCCTTCGTTTCTATGACTGTTAAGCAACGCAAGGCATATCTTCAGTTCAGAAAACAGTTTCCATGTTATTAAGTAAATTTTATTTGATGTTAGAATTTATTGTCAGCCAATACATTAAGTTTCGACCTGGCCAGGATTGTAAAACGGCAACTTCATAGGTACTTATAGACCTATTATGAGGTATGCCAAAAACGGTATTACCAAACCTTCAATCCTCAGTTCATATTTTCCTGCTATGACCTAACATAACAATGAGTAAACTTAAGAATTATTGATACCTATTAATCATTACAAATTGCATTGTTTGTAATTTGTTTTGTGCGTCAATAATAATAATAAAAAAAAGGTGGCCACGGCCCTCAGACATGAGAAACATAACTGGAGGAGCATTAAAATTAAAAAAAAATGTATTACTTAAAATATTAAATGGTTACTTAAAATTACATACTTATAGGCAGTAATCAAGTTTTATTGAAAAAGTAATCCAGTTACAGGAACAATTTTAACTCTAGCAAAAATATAAATCGTGCGACCACCACGACTCACCGCATTACAGGTATATAAAAGCTTACACGAAGCAAATTTAATATATCGTGTATGACAACAATAAAACTGTTCTATTGTATAATGCTTATAACAATTATAGCAATTCAGCGGTCGCAATTTAGATAAAGATAGCGCTGCTTTAAAGATAAGGGATGTTAATAAAGAGGCTCGATCAACAATTGTTTTGACAATTGTCACACTATTCTCATGTTGGCAGCGGTAAGAAGTACGTTCGCAGGTATCTGCTCGAAATCAAAGAAAACCAACAGTATGTGTGCCGACGATTTGATTCATCCCAGGGTAAGTAACCATCAGTTTAATAATAAATTAGTAAAGAGTTGTTACAACAGTATAAAATATCTTAAAGTAAAATCACATATGTTTTTTACGTGCACTTGAACCACAATTTAAGACATATTTTAAAGTCAATTTCAGAAAATGAAAAATCAATTTTACCTTCTAACATCCGTGACCCAGGGAGCTCTTTTAAAGTAGATTATCTACGAAGATAACTGTCAATTATTTGACAGCTACCATAAGTAGACACACCAATACCAAATTTTTAAAGAAATACTTACTAACTCGTAAGACTTGGTCACGACTTCCACGCTGAAAGAATGATATCTATACTAATATATAAATATAAATCTACAGTGGTTTTTACGGATGTTCCGTTATAACTACTGAACCATGCATCCGATTGATTTGAAACTTGGTATTCATGTAGAAAATACATGTACTAAATGGATAGGCTAATATTTATATAAGTCTTGGACTCCCTAATAATAATGACAATAAATGATAATGTTAATTTTAAATGCCCAGTAAAGCGACCGAGTACCGCTAGTTGTTTAATAAAAATCAAATCCAAAAAAACATTACATTACATTTCAGTAATTACCAGTGATAGGACGTATTATACCTGCAGGGGTAGAAACGCAAATTCCATCGTCCTGCCTATTTTTGCCGCGTAACCGTCATGGGTTTTGGTTTCATATGTCGGACAGCCGCGTGACAATTTTAATAAGACTTCGAACTCATGTCACAAGATGGATCGGCATTTACGTTGTGTTACGTTATGACTGACTCGATGGTGCAGTAGTTAGCGGCCGTGGCTGTGGGTTTTTTTCCCTACCTAATCTGATAGCCTTGATAGGCTATATCAGCGTCGCCTTAACTAGTAGGTGAGCTCACGGGGCTCAAACATGACGACGATGCTAACACGAACCCTAGCAAGAGCCGTGCTTCGCAGAATCTACCACCGGATCGGAAACGCGACCCACTGAGAAGATCCGGCGAGAAACTCAGTGGGCTGTGTCTGAGGGTTAATTTACTCGTCGAGACCTTCGTCGCAAGCGACGGGTTCGACGAGAACGATGACCGGTGCTTGACGTACCTAGAAGCACCGTACTGAGGGTCGTTCGTTCGATTCCCATATCGGGCAAACATTCCTGTGGTGAACAGATTTGTTTGCTCTTTGTCTGGGCGTTTATTATCTATTTATGAATTTATTTAAAAAAAGGTACATAAGTATCTATGTCAGTCTGGTACCCCTATCACAGGCAATCCTAAATTGGACCGGATGACCGTGCGCGATTTGTTCCCAGTTATTATCATTATTATTATCATCTATGGACCCCGGTAGCAACTGAACACCAAGTGGGCCGTGAACTCGTGCCATGAACAGTGCAATAAAAATATCGTAATCTTGAAACTTTCCAATAAACACATTATTATTTTACAAGTTCATCTAAGGATTAAAATTGAACTATAAAATTTGTTTGAAGATTACCGCCTTGTTCGATGTGTACTATAAAAAAAAGCGGATACGAGAAAGATAAGATAATAGTATATTATTTCCTATTATTGCTTTTAACAACATGTATTGTTTATAGCACCCAGAGATGGACAGATATCGAACATCTAAACAGATATTATGTGTTCGAAATACCTATTATTATCTATCTGTCTACGCATAATCCTTAGTCAGGGATATATTAATTTAGCTTCAAGAATAACTAAATGTGCAGCCAATGCATACAATATTGCAACATAATAANATATTATTTCCTATTATTGCTTTTAACAACATGTATTGTTTATAGCACCCAGAGATGGACAGATATCGAACATCTAAACAGATATTATGTGTTCGAAATACCTATTATTATCTATCTGTCTACGCATAATCCTTAGTCAGGGATATATTAATTTAGCTTCAAGAATAACTAAATGTGCAGCCAATGCATACAATATTGCAACATAATAAATAGTTATAGATTAGTTAGATATCCGCTCTAATCTGACAAACGTTACGCAAGGTGGTGTCACCACTTCGATAAAGCGGCACGACACGAGTACCCTCTCATCGTGGCCGCCGGTAATTACATTCCCGATCCTGCGGACAGAATGGAAGCAGTCGACGTCGCCCCAAACACGTCATTTCGGATCCTCCCGATCCACTAACGGTGTTTTTAGGTACCTCAAGCATCGGTCATCGTTCACGTCGAACCCGTCACTTGCGACGAAGGGATCGACGAGTAAATTAGCCCTCAGACACAGCCCACTGAGTTTCTCGCCGGATCTTTTCAGTGGGTCGCTCTGGTGGTAGATTCTGCGAAGCACGGCTCTTGCTAGGGTTCGTGTTAACAACGTCGACAGGTTTGAGCCCCGTGAGCTCACTTACTAGTTAAGGTTACGCTGAAATAGCCTCTCAAGGCTCTCAGCTTAGGTAGGGAAAAAAATGCAATCAAACTAATGTCGAATGTCTCTGGACAATGTAGGTACTCTTCTTGACTGTAGTTCTTGCTAATAATAGTGGATCGGGAAGATCCGAAATGATGTGTTTTGGGCGACGTCGACTGCTTTGCATTCTGTCCGCAGGATCTGGAATGTTGTTGCCGGCGGCCACGACGAGAGGGTTCTAGTGCCGCTTTATCGAAGTGATTTGATTGCGAGTGAATTAGTCACTGATGAGTAACCAATTTGTGATTGATCGCTACACATTCACTTAGCCACTGTAATACCTACGTACACTGCAAAATTCTTGATATTTATTAGTATGTTTCAACATTAATATTATTTTATGAGTCATGTATCTTTTAAGTATAGCGTCATTTTATCTTTAGATTGATTATGTTTTGATATAATTAAATATTATCCAGTCCAAAACCCTTAATCAATAATATCGGAACATACCTATAACAATAAACGTGACTTGATGATCTAAATATCACATACCTACTGATGGTTTTATTGAATTATTCTAGCGACTCTACTATTTCCTGTGTCTAATAGGTACGTAACCAAAGCCCGTGAGCGTATAATCACTAATATATAAATTATGTTGATTAAAAAAATATAGCAGTACCTCATTTAACAAGTATTTACAAAATCAAAACAATCAGAACATTTCAATGACTTGTTCATCAGACCGTTTAAAAAATGCAACTTAAAACAATGGAGCCATTGGAATGCTAGACAAATATGAAAGTGTTAAAAACGTTGCATCAAATTTTACAATGAATAGTATTTAATATCTATTCATTATTATGTGGCTAAGGCGTATTAGTACGGCGTGATACGAGGCACGGAATGCAGATCTCGCGAGGTGAACACATGTGCACTGGTGTGATTCTCTTTGGCGTACATGCACGGAGGCACGTCACCGCGTCAGCTACCAATGACACACCCACCTTATGCTAATTAAATTCAATATGGAATGTGTCTTAAAGAGAATTATAGCCTTTAAAGATCTCAAAACGAAAACCTACTTATACTCAGTGAAACTTTACCTAGATTATCTCTAGTGTATCTACACGTTTTATCATTAAAATAAGCTTTATGTTAGTGCTCAGGCGAATTAGCTTAGGTTAAATATCTAGGTTATATATTAGATTGACAGGATAAAAGCTTAAAGAAAAAAAATGCTTTAGGTATAAGTTTTTAGGAGCTATTTTTCATAATCCGCCATTTCTAAGCTATGTCGTTTTCTATACATTGATTGACATAAAGTTGCGTGGTGAAGGGAACACGTGATCAAAAGGAAACAAATCCGAAAGGGGCACGGTGAGCGGGGTAATATGGCCGAAACGTCACTCGACAAAACGCGGGGCGCGCGAGGCAGGACGGCTGGCGACGCGACACGGCAAGGCCGAGGGTGTGGTGCACATGCGCTGAATTGCGTTCATGTCGCCCGCGTTTCAAGGTGACCTTCAACTCGTCGCTCTGTACCGTTCACTATACTCTATGTTCCTTTCACTTGTGCACGACTACACGTTCTCAGAACCGGTTTTTGCCAGAACGCGGATATAAACTTTATCGTCGTACCCGGTGGAATTTATGACAGCACCCTGTGGACTCCAGCACTTCTCGTTCATCATCTATTATCATCTCAGTCGTCGAGACTGACAAGACAAATCGATATGCGTCAAGCACGAGATGTTGTGAGTACACAAATATTTGTTCATTGTGTGCCTTTGCCAAAACACTGTTTCTAGTAGGTGGCATAGCATAAGATAATTCACAATTTAGTGCTTAATTTACTATTACAATAAAATCATCATGCACTTTCGAAAGTTTGTAATAGAAATACATAAACAGTGATTTTACTATTAGCTTGACTTGAAAAATTACCGATCATTGTCATTATTGTAAATAAACGTTCAATAGATCTAAAATAAATAATATTTACGTAACCTTATTTTACAGTCAGACAGCCAAAATATTCTGTATTGCGTCTATAACTATTGTAAGAAACTGTAAGAATATACATGTTGTAAGAAAAAAAAACTAGAAGTCAGAACTACAACTGTATTTTCCTCTAGATACTAAGGTCATACGTCAAGGTCATACAAATGTAAACGTTTTCATTTTTCGACGTCAATTCACAAGTTTTCAATCATTTTATTCAACTTATGTAATATTATATTATGTGTTTCTTCTACTGAGGCTAAAGTTTTCACGAATTCCATTGATTTTAACTTCATTTACGTTAATATAATATATATATATATTTTAAATGTATGTGGTTGCGAACATTGGACATTTTCCTGTGACGACATTAACATTATTATTTAACGCGCTTCGAATAATAAGTCGTTACTAATGAACTATGATCATTTTCATAATTGCTTAGGTACCTGTATCAATATTTAATGTACCAAAATTTGAATTTTATTCTATTAATAAGCTAAACAACATTAGATCTGTTTGACCTGATAAAGTTAACGATCTGCGATTAATTATGTTACTTAATACTCGTAATTTAAAGGTATTGGATACCTAGTATATTATACTTTTCCGGTTTCTTTAACAGTTGTTGGGAGAGTTGTTAAAACGTCTCTAAAGCTTCATTCATGCAGCCATAAAGTCACGGGTCGTTATGCACCGTAGCTATAGTTGGAGACTCCTCTTAACTATTGCTGAGACTTGAGCTGAAAGTTATATTGAAATATTAGAACTAAACTGAAAATCGTAAATAAACGTTTAAACAGGCATAGTGACATAATTTCGTATAATAAATTGAGGCATAATTTCTAAGCGTAAATATTAATGGACAGACTCTATATAATGGTATAGCAGTTATTAAAATGAAATTAGATTTGTTTCTTATTGTATTATTGAATATTTTGTTAATCATAAGGAAATGTTTTATTACTAGATTTACGAAGATTTTTTAAAATAAATCACAGAATCATGTGTAGTCATGTCAATGCTGTATACAAATGACGCCTAAATTCGTGATTTTTTGTGTGAGCAGGAAATTTACATATTCCGATTTTAAATTGCCTTGTCGGATTGAACTGGTTAGAATCGGTGATTTGTTTTCTAATAAAATTTATCAACTCGTAATGATACAATCATGAAATCAGAATTAAAGAACATAATAAATTTATAGACCCGTGTAATATTTGAAAAATGTACATACTAAATCCCTATGTTTAAATTTTCTACTTGCTTTTTTTATTTTCTATTCCCAGGAAAATAGCCAATGATGCCCAATCACGTCGAGTTTCATATTCTAAACAGTGAAGTTCTAGTTTAGTCAACAAACTCACACATAACTATTACTCTTTATAGATTTATGATGTGTTGGGTAATCATTTTCCTCTTTCAAGTTAGTGCACCTTTGAACATAAATAATAGGTTGGGGAAAAAGTTTCTTCGCATTTTTTATGAAAATTCACAACGTTTTTGAATATAGTTTATTTACATTTAACTCAAGTATGTAGGTACTATTTCGTTCCATAACTTTTTGCCATTTTGTAGGTAGGGACATAATCCCATTGCTGTAGAAATTTTGGGGCTTCTGATCAAAATACCGCTGACCTGAATAGCCTGACACTGCCTACAGAATTCTGAAGAGACCGATATTTTGATATAATAACATGAGACCTCACACATGTTTAGCCACTCAGCAAAAATTAAGAGAGCTGGGAGGTGTTAATGCTTCTGCCGTATAGTCCTGACCTTGCACCCTCAGATTTCCACCTGTTTCGGTCTCTTCAGAATTCTTTAGGCAGTGTCAGGTTATTCAGGTCAGCGGTATTTTGATCAGAAGCCCCAAAATTTCGTTATCATAATGAAAAACCACACCCCTTCTGTTGATTAATTCCGGCCGCTTTCTCACAAATTCTTGCTTTAATCTCATCAATTGTTCCCATTAGAGTTCAGAATCGATGATCCTGCCTGGTGATAACAGCTCATAATGAATAATGCCCTTCTAATCCCACCACACACACAGCATCATCTTGTATCGAGTTAACCCGGGTTTTGCCACAGTCTGTGAAGCCTGACCGGCCTTTGACCACGACTTTTTCTGCACGTTTTTGTCGTACGTAATCCACTTTTCATCACCAGTTATCAGCTTCTTTAAAAATGGTTCGGTTTCATTACGTCGTAATAAAGGATCACAAATGAGTGCACGGTTCATTAGGTTTCTTTCAGTGAGCTCGTGAGGTTCCCAAATAACGAGCTTTTTGTGTACCCAGTTTTTTTCAAATGCGCCAAAACTGTTTTGTGGTCAATTCCCAATTCTTCAGCTACGTCGTAAATACTGAAATGCCGATCTTTCTCCGCTTTTTCAAAAATGGCATCAATTTTATCCGTAATAGGGCGACCAGAGCGACGTGCATCTTTGACATCAAAATTTCCGGATTGAAAACGCTTAAACCAGATTTGTGCTACTCACAGACACTGCACTAGGTCCATAAAAATCGCTTTCATTTTTTCATTAGATTCACTCATCTTGACAGTACGAAAAATAAATAAAATCACACATTTTCCTAATTTGAATTTGGAATTATGTATCTTGTTTAAAATTTAAACTTTTAATGATACCAAAACCAGGCAGATATAAATAGTATATATAGCCAAAAAGTTTTTTTTACAAGTTCATACACACTATATAATGCGAAAAGACTTTTTCTCCAACCTATTATTACATAAAGTAAATTTTATTAACGCAATAAACCGAAACAATTATAATTCTTCTACTTCGACATGCGTAGAACCACGATAAGAATGCCATATCCCAAAGATAGATCAAAGTTTATCGATGTTATTTTTCAGTCACCAATCCAATTTCGCGACATATCTGCGCAATTAATATTTATTAATTGCGTTTAAATATCGATGTTACATCGCTCTCGTAATTAATTACCTATAGCTTTATACCGGTCACTCACATTCGCACGAATACGCAAACCCACAAGTGTAGGACGACATCTGCAAATGATTATGCAGTTTTCGCTGCATTCGCGGTTTTCCAAGCTGTGTCGGTTTTTTAACGGACATCAAAGTGCGCGAACCGCGATCCTTCGCGTAGTCTCCCACACATTCGTGTGACCCCACGATTGCGAAGATAACGGACGTTTCGCCATTTTCATAGTTCGTAACGTCTACTGTGTAGCGTACCTTCATCATGGATTGGAACAACATCAAGGTGATGGAGTTCATTANCTGCATTCGCGGTTTTCCAAGCTGTGTCGGTTTTTTAACGGACATCAAAGTGCGCGAACCGCGATCCTTCGCGTAGTCTCCCACACATTCGTGTGACCCCACGATTGCGAAGATAACGGACGTTTCGCCATTTTCATAGTTCGTAACGTCTACTGTGTAGCGTACCTTCATCATGGATTGGAACAACATCAAGGTGATGGAGTTCATTAAACTCCTGTAAAATGAATCGACCATATGGGACCCTCAAAAGAAATCCCATAAAAACAGAATGGCCGTTAATGACGCCTGGGAAAGAATTAAAAACTCTTTTTCTCTTCAATGTTCTATTGACGAATTAAAAAAGAAGACAAATTCGTAAAACATTCGTAAACAAGTGTAACAGGAAGCGCAAACGGGTTCGCAAATTGAATACCGAACCCATTTGCACAGCCGTAGCCACTAAGTTTGCGAATTAATGTCTGACAGTCCTTCACATGCGCGCGAACATTCGTACATTGTACGTTGAACATTCGTACATTATACGAATGTTCGCGCGCATGTGAGTGGCCGGCATTCAACGCAATTCTCTAGATCAGTGCTTCTCAATCTTTTTCCCTACCTTGTAATAAAACGTTTGAGGAGTATAATAATTTTATGCATAACCCTCAAATTTTACATTATAAGTTATGTAACTGTTTTAACTTCTTAGTATTTCCGTCATTACCACTATAATACGTAAAACGTAATACAGATACAGGTATCACAAGTTGGAAATCGCTGCTCTAGATTGACGTAAATTCCTGCTAAAACTATCGCCAGTATCAGCGCTAATAGCTATCTAAAAGCCGATATGGTGCTTATCAAACGAATTCAAAGTGAAGTGGCGTGACAGTGATGTCTACAGTCTGGCACACCCATACTATGACATTGTTCAAGGACTAAGATAAGTTCGATTATATTGTGATACAAAAATGGAGGTGGTAAAATATTGATTATATTGATTTATAAATGTGCAGGTAACATATTTATTTTATTGCACAATCTTATTCCTTCATTGGGGAAATCATTAGTGAACGTATGTGCTTTCGTAATTACCTACATTAATTACATAAACTGGTAGCTACCCCCAGGTTGATCTCCGGCCTAGTTACAGGACTACAAGAATGAACACTGCTCTCATTTTGCAAAATGAAAATCTGTTTGTTACATGACTAATTACTAAATTTACACACTTTGTCTAATATGCTAATGAATGCCGTCTTTCTTAACGACCGTTTTGTAGTTTGAAGTAGATAATTTAATGAAATTACATACATTCAAAAATAAAATATGAATAAATGACACTAAAACAATGATAAAGTTCATTCCCGAATTATGTGAATATTGGTGCTGGTTGCAGCACACTCCATCAAGAGTATACGACTGCTAAGAGAGTTTCTGTTTCTGGTTATCATTATTTTGATATAAACTGTTTATTGAAGTTGTTTCATAATATATTAATACATTACATTATACATACATTAACTCAACCTGTACATAAGTCAAGATGTAAAACGTCGACTATCAACAGTGTGAACGTCATACGATATTCATTTGACTCTTAAAAAAACTGAATATATATGTAGCGTGTACATAAAGCATCTACTTCTCGAACGAGAGGCCCGTGCCTCCGGTACGAAATTTTATTTACAGTAGCCAAGCCCAAAGAAAACAAGCACATCAATGTGCGAACCGCGTCGCGTCATCGTGACGGTTGATCGGTGTAGTTTCAAAAATACACACGTTGTGATGCCAAGAAATTCTCTTCATGGCACATTCTACTTACATGAAACAATGATTTGCCTCTGAATTAAGATATTTAAAAAAAAAAACACNGCCTCCGGTACGAAATTTTATTTACAGTAGCCAAGCCCAAAGAAAACAAGCACATCAATGTGCGAACCGCGTCGCGTCATCGTGACGGTTGATCGGTGTAGTTTCAAAAATACACACGTTGTGATGCCAAGAAATTCTCTTCATGGCACATTCTACTTACATGAAACAATGATTTGCCTCTGAATTAAGATATTTAAAAAAAAAAACCACAACCCGCAAAACTAATAAAAACGGATTAGATATTTCTATCTTAAAATTTATCTGAACTTAGCAACCGTCAAAGTAAAATATCCTATTGACAATCTAATAAAACACAAAGTTTTTTTTTTATATTTGAGAATTTACTGGTGGCCCTTCCAGTTTTACCAGGGTAGGTAGGCGAGCAAAGGCTCAGCCAGGAGGGGTGGGATTTGTTAACAGCTACCCGAGCGCCTCCAAAGGAGACCTAACGATTCAAGAGTAGCTGTTTCGCGAATGAATCTACTACCAGATCGGAATCGCGACCCGCTGAGAAGATCCGGCGAGAAACTAAGCGGGCTGATGTTTAGGTTAGGTTGCACGTCGAACTCTTTGCCGAGTTCGACGACTACGGTTACCGGGGTCTCTACTCCTGGTGTTAGAGCTAAAGGTGTATAATGCAAGGGTTATTGGATCTGATGAATCCGTAAGGACGTTTCTAGGGCGTCGACGGTGACTGGCTCCTGCATGATCAGGATTCGGGGAGTAGTCAGCAGCGGCAACGATAAGGCGATTATCATGACGCATAGCCTTATCGAAGTACCGTTCCGACACTGACTTCATGTATTTCTGGATAGATTCGAGGCCCAGGTCGTCGTGTAGGTCAACGTTCCTCACGAACCACGGAGCTCCGACGGCTAACCTGCAAAAGCGGGATTGTAGGGATTGGAGGGTGTTTATGTGTGTGCGGGCCGCGAACACCACACTCGCGTAAGTCACGACGGGCCTTATGCAAGTTTTGTAAAGTGTCACCTTGTTCCGAAGGGACATTTTACTCCGCTTACAGATCATGGGGTAGAGTCTGCCGAGAAGAAACGCGACGCGGTCGCGGACGGATTTTATACGGGGGCGGAATGTCATGGATGCATCCAGGGTGACACCCAGGTACTTGACATTCCTGGCCCAGGGTATGGGTTGGTTGAAGAGGGTAATTGGGGGTGTGAAATTTCTCCTCCTAATCCGGGAGAAAATCCGTGAGGAGTTTCCCCTTTGAAATAGCACCGCAGTGCTTTTCGCTGGGTTGATGTCTATGTGGCATGTTCGGAACCACTATCCTAAGGTTACGGCTGCGCTTTGAAGTTTCTTCGCCATTAGGGACTTGTTTCTACTCGAGTACTAAACGTTCGTGTCGTCGACGAATAAGGCTAACTGGGTCGGCGGCGACCGGGGAATGTCGTTAATAAATACACTAAATAGGAGCGGCGAGGAGCGGGCTCCCTCGACTCGATATCGAAAAGAGCGGTTCAACAAGAAGTCCCGTATGATGAGCACTAGACTGTCCGGCACGCCCACGTTGAAAAGTTTGAAAATCAAACAGTTGTGCTAGACTTTGTCGAAAGCTTTTGCGACGTCGAAGAAAAGGGCTCCCGTGTATAACGGTTTTGGTCGGTTAAACCCTACGAGAATGTGCATCGTCAGGCGGTGCATCTGTTTTATGCATGAGTGATTTGCGCGGGATCCGAATTTTTCATCAATAAGTATGCCTTTGGATGAGACGAAGTCTCTGAGGCGTTTGTAGAGCAGACGCTCATACAGCTTGCCTACACAAAGCTGGAAAGATACAGTTCGTCATAGCGGCATTGAAAATAGATGCCAACATCACGATGAGTTGGGCGGGTAGAAGTTTAAAAACGCGGCTAGAAATATCGTCTGAACCGGGAGCCTCGCGAGGACGTAGGTCTTTGATTAGATCCTTATCTTCCATCGGGTTGACGGGTAGAAACGCGTCCGAGAGGACACAAAAGTATCCAAGTATTATTAATACTAATTCTGTACTCTTATAATAATGGGATAGCTCAATATGTAGTAAGTGCTACATTCTCCAAATGACGCCAAACTAATAGTTAAAATAAATAATGGTTTATAGGAAAAAACAGAAAAGACGCGGTATTGTATTCAGCTGAACAAAACCACATAATCTTTTTTTAAATAATTTAGGGAGATCGTACTATTTTCCCCCCTACCTAATCGTTGGTAGCCCAAGGGCCTAGGGATATTCCAATTACTCACGGATTGGATTCATTATTTAGCGTAACGTAACAGAATAATGTAACCAATACATTTAAATTTAATATTATAGGTACGACAGTTTTGTTCAACAAAAGCTTAATTTTAACAAAAAGTAATTTAAACATAGAGAACGTTTAAATCTGATGATAAATAAAGAATGTTAGTTATACTTACAATTTTTGTATATATGTAGTTACAATTTTTGTATGACATTAAATTAGTTCACATCGAATTCAATCAAAGTTCAATATTCAATGAGAATAAACGATATATTCGGTTATTAAATATAATTGAAAGTATTCAAATAAATGATTTAGCATTTTTATTTACAAAAACCAATCAGAAATTTTGCATTACGTAGGTATGCCGCCACAATACACACTTTAGCAGTAGGCACCATAATCTAGTCTGAGCAATACACTAACACAAATACGTTTAATATAATACGCACAAGGAATGCGTATGACGTCATGAGCGAGCCCTCACGTTACCCAATCAGAATGGGGCGCTGAGAGGCACGTCTTGGGATTGTTACGGAAAGACACAGAAAAATATAATAATTTACTTTGAAAATTAGTAAATATTAAATTGTTGTTTTAATTACATAATATATTGTTTGTTTCTTATATTGTTATGATTTTTCTATAACATAAAATGAACTTTAATTATTTTCTACATACGCTTTAACTGTTCACACGCATTTCGTTGAAGGATTTAAGAGTGAGATGACAATAGTTCACTATCATGAATGAAACTTGCGCATGTGTGAGTTGAACGCTAGCGGACGGCAGCCCGCAGGCGTGAGCGATGCTTGTTGTTCGTTTTCAACAAGAATCGGTATTCTTCATTTTCTTGCTGTAGAGGCAAGACGTGTAGTAATTTGTAAATTTGAAGTTGTGTTTAAAGTGATTCCCTATTGGCGTTAAGTAAGGAAAATATCTATAAAAAATGGGCATAGTTGTTGATAATTTACAAAGGGTAAGTGTAATTCTAATGCTATAATTTATTTAATGTGTGCAGAGTGCCGGCTCCGTATTGGAAAGCAACTGTAGTGTTGTAATGACCGCTTTGACCTTGTGAAACTCGTCCGCGATAATGATTAATGCTAGCTTATGTCGTCTGAGAGGGTCACATGTGTTATAAATGAAAACCCATATTTAAAAAAAACATTAAACTATGTAACAAAGTATGTATCTCATAAAATTTACATTGAATTTGTAAATCTGAATTCTGCGCATGCGCAATGTAATTTTTACTGCCGGATTAGCATTACGAATACTACATATTTTTCGTTTGTCTTTATTAATGTTTAGAAAGTATTTCTTACAAACAATTGTGATGCAAAGCGGCCACCGGAACCCATGAACAACCACCAAAACCTTGCACACACAAAATCAAGTTCCCTACACTCAGAATTAAAGTAGAAGGGAATTAGTTGAAGTATCAACTTTATTTACTTATACCTATTACATTAGATTTGGGCTGCTCGTCGTCATTTCATGAAGTCTGCGCTTAGTTCGACTGTATTTAATAAGGTCTAAAATTAGCAACAGACTTCCACTCTTCCACGTCAATGTTTCGGTCATTTTGGCGCGTAGGTTGAAAGTGTACATATTATTTATGTTAGACCGATTTTTGTTCTGCAGATTCGCGAAGAATGCGAAGTCCTAAAGATGACCGACAAACAAATCAAAGAAATAATGTGCAGGCTTCATAACGATTTGAAGAAAGGGCTTAGCCGCGCTGATCATGACAAAGCTACAGTAAAGTGCTGGATCACATACATACAAGATTTACCCAACGGAAAAGGTGAAAGATTGAAATTGTCTAAATTAATTATATTTCTAATGAAATTAACAGTTACACGTTACATTTGAATAGTTTGTTGAAAGTCAAAGTTTTCGTTTCAGAGAGAGGTAAATTTTTGGCATTAGATTTAGGTGGAACGAATTTCAGAGTTTTAATAATAAATTTAGGGGAAAACCATTTTGATATGCAGTCCAAAATCTATGCCATACCAAAACATATAATGACTGGCACCGGCATTGCTCTATTTGACCACATAGCCGAATGTTTAGCAAATTTTATGAAGGTAAATTTTAACTACTTACATAAAATGTTTTGAAAAGTGTTTTTTATTATTTCATTGTAATATTTATTCGAAATAAAAAAAAAAAAAACGTACGCTTCGTAAATAGGAGCACGGAGTTTATGAAGAAAGATTGGCACTTGGATTTACATTCAGTTTTCCACTAAAACAACTGGGTCTTACAAAAGGCGTATTACAAAGATGGACTAAAGGTTTCTCTTGTTCCGGTGTGGTCGGCGAAGATGTTGTACAGGGCCTTAAAGATGCTATCGCCAGAAGAGGGGTACGTACATTTAATACATTTCCGACATTACATCAACCAACTTAGTCTGGCACTTAAAAGAGACTAATATTTCGCGCCCGGTCGAAGAAGCGGTTGTTTTATGAACAGATATTTTCCAGGACGTTTTTATAGATGTGATGGGCATACTTAATGATGCCACCGGCGCCCTTATGTCTTGTGCCCATAAGAACCGAAATTGCCGAATCAGCGTAATAATCGGTGAGTTGGCGATGATACCAGCTCTCTTACTTAAGGCATGACTACGGAGTCAACTGAGAGCCACGTATAGGCTTTCAAATTTTATTACGAACCTATAACGTAAACTAACGAGTATTAAACTGAATTAAATATTGCATGATTGGAATCAGATTCTTCATTCCATTGGTTTTTTTTCTTTCCCATTTCTCAACAATTATGATTTTCGGACTTCATAAAATAATCGGGTTGTGCATGTCAAAAACCACTTTTTTAATCGGCTTAATTTTTAAGCATTGTCATCTTACTCATTACCGAATAATTTCAATCTCTGTAAAAGTTTCAAATACGACAACTCGAAAATAAATAAAAGAATATACTTAAATAATATTACCTTCAGAAAAAAAAAACATTTTCTGTAAAGATAAGACAAAAATTTGAAAGCCTCTACGGTAAATCATCCTCAACATTGTGGGCTTTTTTCTACTAATTTTCATGGTCTAAATATATGTCTCTGGAATGGAATTAATTCTATTTACTATAGAATGCATGTTTTTTCATTCTTATAGGATGTACAGATTGACATATGCGCTATTCTGAATGATACAACGGGTACATTGATGTCCTGCGCATGGAAAAACCACAACTGCAAAATAGGACTCATCGTTGGTAGGTTTCGTTTATTGGATGTGTATATCTGTGTCACGTTGTTGTGCTCGTTTTGCAGCTAACGAAATGCTCTGAAATACGAACGTGTTTGTGTTAACAACTACATTGCTTAGTTGCCCTTTGGACGGACCACGAGAAGGTCAAAAACGTTCGAACAGTCGGTAAATATTTAGTGATCTTTTAAAGGGTGATCGCGTTGAGTTCAAAAACCTGAAGCGATATCGTGACGTAACATTTTTATACAAATGTTTCCACATTTCTACGTTATGTACTTATTCAAACACATTAGTATCTTCTCGGCTTAAATTCTAACACGAAACATAACATAATCGTGCTGATTTTGGAAATATATTCATATCTGTGTAGTTTTTCAGTAATGATTAGATTTAGATGTCTAAATTGATTGAAAATCAACCACATCCATACTAGTCTTTTACTTGTACTTGTCTAGATTTTATTGTTGCTCAAAAATATTAAATAGCTCGAAAAAGAGCCGTATCATTGTGTAGCCTTGTCACGGTGATGCGACTGTTATCGGATCACCCGTAAAGTGTTTCAGAAATCAAAGTAACGCGATAAGGCATATTTTCATTTTTACACGTTCAACTTATTAAGCTTTTATGGTGCATGAAAAGGAATATTGCCGAAACGGTTTTATCAAATTTAAGTAAATAAACAATGTAAAACTGTTTTTGTTCTCGAAGGTACTGGCAGCAACGCTTGTTACGTTGAGAAGACAGCGAATTGCGAGCTGTTCGATGGCGAACCTGAGAAAGAGGAACTGCTCATTAATACCGAGTGGGGGGCGTTTGGGGATGACGGCAGCCTCGACTTCGTACGAACCGAGTTCGATAGAGAAGTAGACGTCACATCCATAAACCCTGGCAAACAAATGTAAGCTGCATTCAATGTTATGATTTGTTATAATAAGCTATTTCTATACTCTTTTTTTTAAGGGAATTTATGACCTGGTAACTAAGACCTTTAAGTAATTAATTTGAGACATTAATCAATTGGGATGAAATTAAATGAAATGAGATGAGATTATATGGGATGAAATATAATCTTAGTAAAATGGTGGACATTTATTGAGATTTTTTCAGTGGACTTTTTGGAAGATCCCGAGAAGTTACGTGCAGCGCTTTTGTTTCATTTTCCCACATTTGTGCACTTTCGCAGATATTACACAGTTAATAAACCAACGTTATTACACATTTAAACCTGAAGAAACACTAAATAGACCAAATAAAACAAATCACACAACTACACTCCTCGCGTTCTCGCCAAAAATTCCTACTTCTATACTAACGACCTTTATTGATAAACAAAAGGTTATCATTCGTTCACTGTTTTTTATTGCCCATGTAGGCAGAGGAGCATACGGCCCTACGGCCTACGGCACTACCTGACGGTGAGTGGTTGCCATCGCCCATGGACTTCAGCAATGCCAAGGGCAGAGCCAAGCCGCTGCCTACCGAAATACAACTTGTAAAAATAATGAAACTTGTAAATAACCCTCGTATTAAGACATAAAAAGTTGTTTAATCTAAGTGATACTGTAGCTCGTTTTCCTTGTTTTGGGTTTTGTACATCCTTAATGTGGAAAGATACGATTTAGAACTTAGTTGCTTAAATTAATGTCTGACTAAAAAAAATCCCCCGGTATAATCGTTTTCCTCAATATAATAACCAGTTGATTGTTGTCGGGAATCCCGGTAACGTGAACTTAGAACGTACGTGTTCAGTTCTCGAACTCAACGAATTTCGCCTTCGTATTTCCTGAAGTAATTTTCCTTAAGCTTTATCGTGTCAGACACGTAAACGAAAGATAATAACGTTTATCTCTCCAGTCATCCTTCATACGTTGATCTGTCAGATGTCTTTTGATTCGAACAAACAGAGCTAGGCCGCTAACAAAGACTGCACCGACTATGCTGTACACTCGTCAAACAACATCAAACTAAAAAAGTACGCGGCCGTTCGTATCGGAAGTACAAGGCCGAATTGCGTTGCACGATAACAGAGGCGTGGTCGTCTAACTGTGAATGCAATATGAAGCTATGTATATATGAGAAACTTTAATGTTCACGCGACAACAATACCCATTATGACTGTATCCTCCTCCGTGCGTCGTGTTCCTAAGTGCCGAGGATCGTGACCTTTACGGATTACATACGTAAAGGTTTTCTTGGGAAAATTGTTAGTGGTGATTAGTTCCTGTGGGTTACTGGAGCCCTAGTTCGGGTTAGTTGAACGCCGCCCCTTGCTCGGCGTTATATTTTTACGGGTAGGTGGGTCGGGTAGGTGGCATACCGACGCCAACCTTCCTCTTTTCTCATCCGGGCTTGGGACCGGCAATAGCAGAGTTAATGACTATACCTATACTATGTAGTAATTATGACCACGAATCAATGTATACAAATCTGTCTAAAGCATTGAATAGTTGTCTTTTAAAACGAATTCGCAAAATATGAAATCCGACACGGAAACAAACCGGTTTTTGCTAGTTAATAAGTCATTTATCAAACCGGTTATTTTTGAAATTTGGCAACACTACAAGGAAAAACTAATTTTGATACTTGTGTTTCGGATTGAATTGTTTGAATGATGATAAAAGATATCGCGAAAAATTGTGGTAGGACCTCGCGTGAGTCCGCACGGGTAGGTACCATCACCACGCCTATTTCGGCCTTGAAGCAGTAATGCGTTTCGGTTTGAAGGGCGGGTCAGCCGTTGTAACTATACTGAGACCTTAGAACTCATATCTCAAGGTGGGTGGCCCATTTACGTTGTAGATGTCTATGGACTTCAGTAACCATTTAACACCAAGTGGGCTGTCAGCTCGTTCACCCATCTAAGCAATAAAAGAAAGGTCTTGTAGTTTTGTAAAATTTACAAAACATTATTCGAATAGTAATTAATTCATGCTTATTTTCCTTTCCGGCAGTCAAGAGAAGATGATTTCTGGCATGTACCTGGGTGAATTGGTGCGGCTGGCGCTCGTCAAATTCACTCGAATGGGCTTGCTGTTCGGGGGTCAAGGTTCGGATCTTCTGTTCGAAGGGGGCAGCTTCTATACCAAATACGTGTCTGAAATTGAATCCGATAAACCCGGAGACTTCACCAGCTGCATGGAGGTCTTGGAAGAACTTGGTAATATATTTATCTAATTCGGAAATATGTTCTCAATGCATTTTACAGAAGCTGATTATGTCCAAGCGATACATTTTTTTTTTATAAATGATCAAGATCATATATGCCACCCGTGGTATACGCTACGAACGGTTCTAGTAACAAGTTCTAGTAATAAATATTATAAAGGAATACAGTATTCATTTTAAAATGAACTGGCGTATTAAAAAAAGCCATTTAAGTCGATTTAATTACTGTGGTTGGCCTGTGATTTGTTGATTTAATATGCTTAAGGTATAGCTGTAGGTTTATAACCGTTTGTTTCAATGTCTTTTTTTCTACCTAAGCTGATAGCCTTGAAAGGCTATGTCAGCGCAACCCTAACGTGAACTCACGAGGCTCAAACCGAAAGTGTTACAAACACTGGCCCAAGCAACAGTGCTTCGCAGAATCTACCACCGGATCGGAAACGCGAGCCACTGAGAAGATCCGGCGAGAAACTCAGTGGGCTGTGACTATGGGTTATTCAATGTCAATGCGACCTTTAATGTAGAATTTTCGTTCCATCGATCATAAAAATTGCGATACGAATTTTTAACGCGCATATACAGGGTGTCCCAAAATTCAACGATAAGCCGGTACCGGTGTGCATGGTCGGGTCAATGACAGACTACCCATGGAAAAATAATAAAAAAATCCAGCTCTTTTTTTTTAAACTTACATTCACTTTTTTGAAATATGTTGTAAGGGTTTTGAGACTGTTTTAATGAAAGTCTTAATGAAAAATTTAGATACATATTTATTGCGTACTTAAATTAAATGTTCAAATTGTTGACAATCTACGTCAACACACAAGTGACAACGCCTTAAAAATGATATTTTAATGAGTCGCATATCCCCGTCCGTTCATATCTTCTGCAGGCTCCAAAATTCTTTAACGCAGTTCGTCAATTGTTGCAATTGGTTTGGCATAGAATGTGTCTTTCAGGCAACCCTAGTAAAAAAAATCCAGTGGATTTAAATCCGGAGAACGGGGCGGCCATGCAATGGGACCTAGACGACCGATCCATCGATCTGCATGTTCTAGGTCTAAATAATTTCTCACTGGACGTGCGTTCATATTTGTAATCACAGTATCTAATCATAGGGTGTATGTAGGGTATCAAATTACAACATTTTTCAAAAAAGTTAATGTAACTTTGAAACCAAAAGAGCTGGATTTTATTTTTCCATGGGTAGTTATTGACCCGATCATACACCGGTACCGGCTTATCGTTGAATTTCGGGACACCCTGTATGTATATGTATGTATCGCATTTGTGTAAACTTTTACGTAATATAAACCCGAGACTTCGGTCGATCTCGGCAGACAGGTTACTTGATAAGAATTCGACTCGTGTTTGATGTCGTGATGCGGCGGCGCGACGTAATTAATGTATGTACGTCGTGTGAATGAGAGAGTGCGAATCAACAGAGTGATAAGATCTAAAGACATTTAATAAATAAAAAATTTAATTTCGAACTATAATAATAATAATACGGTAACAAGTAAAATTATCATCAGCATCGTGTAAATAATTCGTAAATACCGAAAAATAATAATACTATGAGCCTAAATGTTAAGGTTATTATGGTCGAATTTCGATAATTCCGAATACTAGTCAAATATGAAACAGTAAAGGAATGACGAAAGGATTATTTCAAATGGTTAGTAAAAATATAGTTTGCTTACGGCGTAGGTGGGAAACTTGCAAAAAATCTGATCGCCGCAAATCAATTTTCCAGAGTCGAATTATTTTGGCAACTAAACGAAATTCTAAACGCGCTCAACGAATGGACGTCAGAGTTTTTATTCAACGTTTTACGTACATATCGGTATTTCATTGTGTCACGTGGGAAGACTAGCTAGCGGTTCACCTTACGTTGTGTTTTCCTACTTATTCGCGGGTAGCTTAAGGGGCTATTCTAAGCTCGGACGGGTACGTGAGCTCACGGGCTCAGCCTGAGGGAATTTGCTAACACTAGCCCTAGCAAGAGCAGTGCTTCGCTGAATCTACCACTCGATCAGAATCGCGACCCACTGAGAAGATCTGGCGAGTAACTCAGTGGGCTGTGTCTATGCGTACGCTGTGTGGTTACCGAAGATATAAATGTAATTCTCAAGTCTCAGTACTTATTATAAAACGCACGAATGAGAGCAATCACTTAAAGTAGAGGGGGAAGAGGTCGACCGAAGAAGACATGGATGGAGTGTGTGAATGACGATATGAGGGAGAGAGGAGTGAGTGTTGAGATGACGGCTGATAGAAGAGAATGGAAGAAAAAAAATTGCTGTACCGACCCCACCTAGTGGGATAAGATGGAGAAAAAAAGAAAGACTATAGTCTCTCCTTAATGTTGAGCTCTTTCGAAGGATCGAAACGTTGGTACGATACGCGGTCCACGGAATTCTAAGGAGACGTCTCCAACACCATGGTATTAATGGCTGCTATTTAATTGGTAACTATTCATACGGGAGATAGACCATAGATCGACATAGACTTTCATAGACATAGATTGACAGCTATTCGTATACCGAAAATAGGCAAGTGCTTATTAATTTTAAATGTGCAAATAAAATACCGTAAGCCTCAGGGCACTAGCCTACATACAGAGCAGTTCGGGCACTCTAAATTCATAACCGATGTACACTCACAGTTTATTCAACTTTAACAGCTGTCTCATTTTATTAGTTAGTAAATTCGTTGAAAACAACGGTAAATCCCCCACTAGGTGTAAATTGATTAATCATGACCCCGATGACTAGTGAGTTGTGATCGCAAAAAGAGGTATACAAAAGATACTTCTACTGCAATCAGAAATTCATCAATTAATTTGAACTGTGTAATAATCACAAAGTAAACTTTACGTTACGAAATGATTCCCTCAAAATTACAATCACAATTAACACATACCACAGCCCACTGAGTTTCTCGCCGGATCTTCTCAGTGGTTCGCGTTTCCGATCCGGTGGTAGATTCTGCGAAGCACGGCTCTTGCTAGGGTTCCAGAAATAGCCTCTAAGGCTATCAGTTTAGGTAGGAAAAAAAAAAAAAGTTCGTGTTAGCAACGTCGTCAGGTTTGAGCCCCGTGAGCTCACCTACTAGTTAAGGTTACGCTAATATAGCCTCTCAAGCCTCTCAGCTTAAAAAAAAACAAAAAAAGAAGATATTTCTTTATTAAAACGGTATAATTTCGTTGAAGGTTTGTCTCACGCGTCTGACGCGGACATGGCGGCGGTGCGCTACGTGTGCGAGTGCGTGTCGCGGCGGGCGGCGCACCTCGTGTCGGCCGGCATCGCGACGCTCCTCAACAAGATGAACGAGCCGAGGGTCACCGTGGGAATCGACGGCTCCGTATACCGCTTCCATCCGCACTTCCACACGCTAATGTGTGAGAAGATCGCTCAACTTGTCCGACCCGGACTACAGGTCAGTAATTTTTTTAGAAGTGAAACTTCTTTAGAATCCTTGTGATGTGATTTCAAATTCGATGAAACGAAACGAAATAATAAGTGTGCCGCGATTGGCTTGCCGAAGCGGCTCCGAGCGGCGCCGACAAATCACGAAGCGCTCCACACGGTCTCGCGTCCCCGACTAGTTCAGTGTGTTTTTTTATTCTATATACTGGTGGTAGGACCTCTTGTGAGTCCGCACGGGTAGGTACCACCACCCTGCCTATTTCTGCCGTGAAGCAGTAATGCGTTTCGATTTGGAGGGTGGGGCAGCCGTTGGAACTATACTGAGACCTTAGAACTAATATCTCAAGATGGGTGGCGGCATTTACGTTGTAGATGTCTATAGGATCGGGTAATCACTTAACATCAGGTGGGCCGTGAGCTCTTCCACCCATCTAAGCAATAAAAAAACCCTGATCTTGCGTTGCCAACCTCTTACCCATTGCCACGGACATTTCGCTGACAACAAATCGTTGCGGTAAATTTTTGTTTGTAGAAGACATGAGTTTACGTTCTAAATCGAATCCACTCGTTTACCTTCGATAAATACAAAACCGTGACATCCCTAACATATTTATTTGGTTTAGGTAATTGTCTGAATATTAACTGATAGAAACTTACATATTACAATTAATACATCAAACTCGAAATCTTATACTGTTCATAAACTGTTGGCTGTTCATAAACTGTTGGCTGTTCTTATCAATACTGTTACCTTAACAGTCAACATTCCGAATCCACCGTTTTGGTGATCTGTATTATACATTTTTTCTGGTCGGGTTAATTATAAAATAACAGAAAAGGATATTGCGTTATACCATTTTGTGCGAGAGAGATAGCTAACACCATTTTAAATATAGTACGTCTTATAGAAAATAAATAAAATAATAATTGTAATTAATTTTGAAACAAAACTTAAGTGTTCGATAACGAGTATAAAATAATGTATGACATTAAAAACATAGGGAAAAAAATTATTTAGCACCGTTATTCTTTAAAAATTATCTCCCTTTGCAACAAACAACTTAGTAATTAGTAATGATATACGCTTATCACGTCTGCCAAGTATATGACAAAACCTTCTAGGTATTTAAAATACTGTTAATTGCTTGAAAACCAATGACAAAGTAGTTTTAATTAGCAGTGAGATTATCACCATTGTCACAGTAGAAAAAACTTCCGTATGTGTCTCCGGTAATGCAAGGTGAAGTAAAATGAATTACTTATTAAAAAAAAGAAAAATTTGATAAAATTATGTACAAATGTGTAGCATTTAGGTTATCATTGCCAAACAACTTTTACGTGCTCCAGATACCTATACCTATATGCGTGACGTATGTAAAAGTGTTAATCTTATATAAAAATGTCATGCTTAGACCACAATTTTGAATCGAATTAAAATGACGCATTAAGGTATGTAGATAAAATCTAAACAAGATTTACATATTAGATATCAAATAGATATAATATAATGAATTGTAGATGCATCACGCTTCTTAGGTATATTTTAATTTCTACAATTCTTATTTATATTACGCACCGGTTTTGGAGTGAAGATAAAATTTAAATGAGTTATAATAATATCGATAAAATTAGAACGATGGTTTTCCTGTAAAATTATGTACGATGAATGTTTTATGCTCACTTAATTCCACCAGCCATTAACGTGAAAATTTAAGAACTTCCTGACTTCATATTTCTGGTAAAATTTTCCTTATTGTCAGAGGAGCTACCGGCCTTTAAGTATATGGCATTAAGTAGTTTAGATCTGAGATCTTACGTGACGAATACGCCGATATTGTAATCGGAGCAATTTCAATAAACACTTGTATTTAACATTACATGTGTCATTGCTTTTTATTTATTTAAAACTCATGTTTTAGTTATTGCGTAGATACCTAAAAGAGTTCATCTGATTTTAGGTGGTTATCTAAGCCTATAGAAGCCACAGTCAAAACAATTTCGAAGTCGAAGTCCAAATAATCGATTTTTGTGGGTAAAGCATTAGTTTAACACGGGAAAAATATTTTGGATAGCTCTGAAACATAATGAATTAATGTAAAATGCTTCACGCTCATGCCGAGGTCAGTTTATCGGGAAGGCTGTTTAATTAAGATATCACTAAAATAAAAGGTGTGAAAACAATCGCAAAATGAACAGAATATATTCATGACTTGCAAATTTTCTACGGCAAATTGTTTTATTTGAGATGACACCAAAAACACGAAACATATTTCAAGGAACCTTAGTTTCAAGCATGTCGAATTTGTGAAGTGTGTCTTTTGATATTATAATTCGAAACAGAATATTTGTTATTGGCTTACAGAGTGTTTCAGTTTTGGTCTTTCTGTGAATAATAATATGATGAATATTGAATACGCAGAAAACTTTAACTTACTTCACAACCACAACGTTCATGCACAATACAATTTTCGCATCCGGCTCTGAAATATCTCCCCTTCACACCACAGTCATCACTGAGCATTATGGATACGTCCTTTTTAAGCGACGTTTGAATAAAGTTCTGAGTGTGCTTAGTGCGAGTTTTTTAACGTTCTCGATAGCGTAAAAGTTACCTCATATTTGTATGGAATGGGATCGTTTGCGTACGTCTGCCGCTAGGGGCGCTGTTCCAACTGCGTGCTAAATTGGCTTAACTTTTACGCTATCGAGAACGTTAAGAAACTCGAACTAAGTACACTGCTTTAGGTAGCCGCAAGCTAGGCCAGTGAGTTTCTCGCCGGATTTTCTCAATGAGTCGAAATTTCGATCCGGTGATAGATTCTGCGAAGCACTGCTCTCGCTAGGGCTACTGTTAGCAAATTCTCTCAGGTTGCGGCCGTGAGCTCACCTACTCGTCCGTGAGAGGCTGGAATAGTCTCTTAGGCTACCAACGAATAAGTGGGGGGGGGGGGTAAGTAGCCGCTCGGCTGTGTCTCATTGCTTATGTCCACGAGCAACCCCGTAATCTCTCATCATAATATGAATGGTCGCAGTCGCGTCTTCCAAATGAATAATTAAAATACACTAACTGTGCAGTGAATGCAGAACGACCACATAATTATGCACTCTTAGTAAATCGTCACAAGTTTGAACTCCTTTATCTTTGCTCGATTAAATAAACTATGACAAAGACGAGCCCCTTTACGTTTCATGTAAATAAATACGCTCTGTTGATAATTATGTTTTGTAATGTATTAAAGGATAAGCAATGAACTTTGGACAAAGCGATTGATGACAAGAGCGTATTGACAAACAATATTGAACCGGATATTGGTAATCAAAACTAGTTGTTCCCAATTAATAAGTTAATATATTGCGTACTCTCGGGCGTATATGTAGGTATATTTTATTGGGCTTGGTATTCATTTAAATCTCTTATTGCTGTACGACAATTAACAAAATATTACTGGTGGTAGGAACTCTTGTGAGTCCGCGCGAGTGGGTACCACCACCCTGCCTATTTCTGCCGTGAAGCAGTAATGCGTTTCGGTTTGAAGAGTTGCGCAGCCGTTGTAACTATACTCGAGACCTTAGAACTTATATCTCAAGGTGGGTGGCGCTTTAACGTTGTAGATGTCTATGGGCTCCAGTAACCACTTAACACCAGATGGGCTGTGAGCTCGTCCACCAATCTAAGCAATAAATAAAAAATATAGCAATTTAGAAGGATCCTCCAAAAATCCAAATAATTAACATTGTAATTTAATTCATTACTTGAACAAAAACGGACGTAATTTCAAGTAAAATAGAAATCTTCTGTGTGTCCCGTCTCTGCCTTAATCGCGCAGTTCTTGTACCCAGAACCTACTGGCAATATCCAAATTGAATTTTAATGGTAGATAAATAAATTGCTCTACATCTTATATACAGAAAGTACTAAAAATTTGAAATGAATAGTAATTTATGAATTATACAATAATTATATTATAAAGAGAGTTTTTAGTTAAAATATTAGTATTTCATCCACAAATTAGTTTAGAGGTTGGGTAACCTCAGACAAATATTGCACAGTCTATGCCTATGTCTCTAAACTCGAGATTTAGCTTAGTAAACTAGTATTATTTTCTACTTATTCTAAGAGTATAATATTATTCCCCTTTTAACTAAGGGAACGGTTAGCTTGTTTGCTGCTTCACAACACGATAATTATTGCAGTCAGCGCTCTGCTTCAGCTGTTAGTCAATTAACTAATAGATCTAAAATAATCATTTTCGTTCATTCCTGATCACATATTAAAATCGATAATCTTTATCTATTTGTAAGTCATGCGCCATAAATCGAGTATGGAATAGTCACGAAGAATGCTTAAGAGATAAGATTACGGATAAGTCTTTTGTAATTTAATTTTACTAAGGATTGAATAATAGTGTACTTAGATTAAATAGATACAAGATATAAGTAATTCATAAGATTAAGGAAAGTGTGCCTTTAGTCATTATTATATGTCAATCACAAATAGGCGACAACTGAAATATCACGTGTAAATACGTCATATTAAGATTACTTTTTGTTTAGTTAAACGTAAATGATCCGTTAAATGTAAATATTACATTACGAAACATATTGATAACGAAATATGTATAACGGACTTTACAATATCTATTTAACTATACTAATATTATAAAGAGGAAAGATTTGTTTGTTTGTTTGTATTGAATAGACTCTGAAACTACTGAACCGATTTGAAAAATTATTTCACAGTTTGGAAGCTACACTATTCCCGAGTGACATAGGCTATAACCTTTTTTGAAAAAAATTAGGGATTCTTACTAAAACTCCAATAATGTAACCCAAGGTGTAAAAAAATTATCTAAAATATTCTTTACATCGCGTGCCCTGCGAAAACTATTGATGATAGAATAAAATAATGCACTACGACTTTGTAGTACGCATTATTATTTATAAAAAATGTCGCGACAGCATATGTCTAACTATTATAGTTATACCACAATAAGTGTACTTTTATTTAAAAAATAAAACAACGTCAAATATCGTTGAAATTTTTGTTAAAGACCCGAGCGGAGCCGGAGCGGGCCGCTAGTGTTATGATAAAATAATAAAAATAAATAAAAACGTTTGACTGTTACAGTTCGATCTCATGTTATCCGAGGACGGCAGCGGGCGTGGCGCAGCCCTAGTGGCAGCGGTGGCGTGCCGGGAAGCGGAACAAGGGTCGTAGATAAGTTCAAAAAACTGAACACCGAACGATCTCTGCGCCCGTGTTCGAGGCGATGCAGCCTGAAGCCTTTCCACTAGTTTATAGCGTATTTTCATAAACATAAAACACGTTCACGTTCATTTTAGGCCAACATTATTATTACCTATAATTTGAAGAACGCCATAACCCCAATTAATTATGCCTTAACACTGTTTTCAAGCCTGCTCGAATTAAACATGCATCAAAATGTTCACTACATTGTATGGATTAGTGTTTTTTCCGACTTTACACAATTTATAGTGCAATAATTATATTTACCAACACGTTACATAATTCAAGCAATTTTTTTCCAAACTTTCGTAATAGAGGATAAGTATTTTTTTTTAAACTGATTCTTCGGTTCTTGAAAGCGATCGCCCAGTTCAAATACTTTAAGCATTTTCCTTTACCTTGTACTTAATGAAAGTGTATTGAAAAAGGCCATTTCTTTTAGACTGATGGAAGATGTTACTTGAAAAAAATTCAATGATTCTAGTACTGGTACGGCGCTTGAGTGAGACAACATAGATGTAAAGAATAACGAAGGCTTGAGGCTGTTTTAGGGTACTAGGAGTACTGTAGTGTTGAAGGTACTGTGTGCTGTATCGACGGTTCTGTTGTCGCTCTCTGTCCGCGAGCCAGGCCTCGTCTCTCCTCGGTTTGGTTGCACCAAACACTTTAAAAAAACGGTACACGTGCCACGTGGTGCACGTGAAAGAAGTGAAACTTCTTTTTCGATGAGTAGTATTGTGGTTTTCTTAATTTTTCATTCTTAAATCAGATTACTCTTGTAATAGGGAATGCTGTATATGAGAGATGCGACGTCTTCAACATTTATATTCGATATATTTTAAAATAAAGATAGAAAACTTCAATATTGGACGCTACTCGTTGCTAACGCTCGCGTATAACCAGATATGCTACGCGCATGCGTTGAAGTGCCACGCATTCACTCTCGCTTTGTCTCTTTCTATTCCATGGTAGCGTTAAACGTCTAACGCAACCTTATTGGAAGTCGAATTAGAAGTTTCACTTCAACATATTGGCCGTATTAACTTAAACGTTACTTATTGTACTTAAACGCGGTTAATAGACCCAAAAATATCATACGGATGTGAACTACCAATTATTGTATTTACCGTACTATTTAACTTAGCCGATTTCGGTCAACCTAATAAATAATATTACAAAGACTGATTTTATTTGTCGAAGCATCGGTTTTATTGAAAATAAAATCGTCTTAAAGACAAAACGGGATATTCGGAGAATATTACCGTTTCCAGTGACTGTTTTAAAATTAGTTAGGATTTCGATGCAAATACCCATCTCTGCCAGCACACAGTCGTTTAACGGAATTGTTTATCAATAACTATCGTTTCGTTGTGCTAGAACTAAGCAATAAATTTTGAAAACGTGTTTTGAATAGGAGGGAAAGCCTAACAGCTGGCATGTTAGAGACGTGAGTCTGTAGATAGTGAAGTATATAGTATAATATTTTAAATATCATATTCAAATATTTTATATTGTATATTATGTAATGTTTATCTATTGATTTAGAAAGTTTGATTGATGATATTTAGTTTACAATGGAAGCTATTAGTAGTCTCTGTCATTGAAATACGTTTGGACGACACGTAGCATCCTGTGTGAATCTCAATATCATTTGTACAAATGTTGTACACTCGACGCGTGGTGTTTCATTATCTAGATCATTCCATTAGCCAATCACCGAACCACGAGTGTGCTTATTTAGTGACTTACAGTTAACATGCATATACAAATACGTAGTACAACAAATAAACGCGTATATTTTCTTACACGTTTGTTCTCGAAGGTTTTGTAGTTTTTCACAATCAATTTTTTAAACTTTATAATTATATTAAAATTCGTATTCATAGAATGAATTAAATTGTTTTTTTTTGTGATTTTAAATTGTATCAAAAATTTTGTTTTGCATCAATTCATTAGTTTTTATCTTTATGCTGTGATAGATCTTGTAATATTTTCTAAAAATGTAATAGCTATATTTATTTCTATCATTCATTTATTATGTATTTATTAAAAACACCCTATACTAGAACTCTGAAGGAATTTAAAATGTAATATCCAAATAATAAATCCAAATCCAAAAATCCAAATAATAAACCAGTTCGCTAAAAATCCACATTTTGAATACTTCCACAATCTCGACTATTAAAAAGTATCAACTTACTAAAAAACAATAAAAATCTTCGAATAATCATTAAAATCAGCGATAGAATGATATTATAGTTCCTAGTTCTATGTATGAATAGGTGCGTTTTAAGTTATGTAGTGTTGTAAGTACTTATTACGTTCAGTTATAGTTACGTTGCATTGAGTTAAAGTTCTTATATAACGTTAAGGTGAAGGATTTCAACGATGTAAATTAAAATACTGTCGCCGATTTTTACTCTATAATATTTTATAAAGGTCGAATGGATATTATACATATATTTTTTTAAATTAAACATGCAAGAGAAAATTAAATTATTACTTTATTATACCGAACTTGGTTCAAAATACTTACGTTTATACAATAAGTACAAACTAAGAAATTAAAGAAAATACTTAATTTCATAATGATGTACCCACCATGCATAAAGAATTGTTCTTACAAACCGATATCAGGTGTATCACTAAATATCGGAAAATTGAATTGTGTTTATCGTATAATATGCATGAAATACTTCATTTTATTTCGTTGTTGCATTTTATTTTGGGTATGTCGTTTTTTTTTTTTTAAATTGCTCAAACTACACTTATAATACAATTATTTTATCCAGTGAACTATTACTGTGTATAAGCTAAAGTGCGACATTCCATCGACCTAGCACTTATAACCAAGATATTATTTTACATTACATATAAACTTACTTTGTATTCGGGTTTCACTATTTCTGTTAAATTGTAAGTGACTACGTCAGTAATATTATTTATGCTGTTTTTTTAGTTTTTTTTTTATGTTAGCGAACATTAGTCCGTGGTTGTTAATTTATATATAGTTAGTTACACACAAAAATATTACTTATGTAAATGTAAAGTTTTTTGTTGATGAATATTCTTTTCTATATGAACTGCTCCATCTGTGTAAAGCGTTTATATGTTATTCGGTTTGAGAATAAATTAATTCCAATAAATTTATTGTTTTATTTGTTTCGACGTTGTAGCTAGCCTGTTACACAACTCTATTCCAATTAGGAAGTCCCATTTAACAGATTTTATTATTATGCTATTTTGTGTCAATTAATTGTATAATGATTTAAGTAGATTGATTGGGTATTTTTTAAACGATGATTTACGACCATGAACAAAAATGATTATTATATCAAACTAGCTAACCCGGCAGACTTCGTAGTACCTCAATCGATAAATAAAAGTCCTAAACTTTTGTATAAAATAAACTTAAAACAAAAAAAAAGGAATCCGTCCGACGGGGGACACGTCAAAGGAAAAACAAAATTGTTATTTTTATTTCATTCCGAGCATTTTCATATTTATCTACCTTTTAAACCTTCTCTGGACTTCCACAGATAATTCAAGACCAAAATTAGCCAAATCGGTCCAGGCGTTCTCGAGTTTTAGCGAGGCTAACGAACAGCAATTCATTTTTATAATAGATGGATTATGCGAAAAGTGAAGAGTTAGGTACGTTCTAAGTAGTGTCAAAAGCGACTTCGTACCTAATTGGAATAGAGTATAGTAGATTTTGTTTTAATAACATTTTTCTGTCCTGTATTATGGCGACTGTGTTGCATGACGGTATTGATAGTTAAACAAAAAAATTAATCTTATTATGTACCTGATTCAAAATAAGTTTCAAATATATACTTCATTAAAAATGGCCTGAAAATGTAATAGTTCATTGTGAAGCTTAGAGTGCATAAATGTAAAGGCTTTTTTTTAGATGATAGATAGGTTTTACCGAATTTATCTGATGAAAGGACTAACGTAAGCAACATCTGTGTCGTTACGAAACTAATCGTTAGCGATATGTTGTCGTCACGCCGACATCAGTGACTTTTTATAATAATTTTATAAAAATTTTTAATACTCGGCAAACTTCTTGAGCATTAGTTGACGTAGTGGGGGTAAGTTCGCGCATCGTACATTTACGTACAAAAATGTTATCAAGTTATTAAAAACAACATAATATGTATTTATTTATATATTTATTAGTACATGAACAAAAAATACAGGTTAATAATTGTAGTAATTTAATCTAGGGGTAAAATAGATATTCCTTCCATTAGGTCAAAACTAGAGCTGGTGCCAGGTCTTGGATCAGCTGAAGCTGAGCTGGTATTTGTAATTGTTTTTTCGCTATCATAATCATGACCATCATCATCATCACTACTTTCTTCATCCGTGTCGCAATCATCGTCAGCAAAAATTACAAACTCATCAGTGACTAAATCTACCACATGATCACTTTTTACATACTCCGCCTCAATCTCTTTTATCTTTTGACATAATCTACCCCATTCCGGAGCACCCATCGCCGCGACCTTTTCCTTCACTAGCTCTATTACTTTGCCAGTGCTCCAGTTGACATTTTTGCTACTGACATACCCTTTAATAGCTGCCCAAGCCATTTCAATTGGGTTGAGGTCTGGATGGTATGGAGGTAAGCGAAGCACTGAATGGTTGTGGTTTGATAAAATTTTATCAATGCTGTATGTTTTGTGTTGTTCCTTATGTGCTTTAATCAAGCTAAAAAGCTGGGGTTTCAACATGTTTTCATCGTATGGAATTTCTTTTTCTTGTAACCATTTCTTCATATAGACTTTTTTGGCATTGGCAGTTGGGGCGGGGTCAGACTGTTTATTGT